GAGAAATTTACGTACAGCCGAAAAATGAAGTTTTTGCACGGCATCTTTTGAACACTTGTAAACAGGACGGAGCTCAGAACCTTGATCAGTTTGTGCAGAAGCTTCGCAGTTTATTGCCAGACTGCCGCTTTACAGCCGTCAGTGCAGAACAGCATACCGATGAAGCGTTGCGAGATGCGTTTATTAGCGGACTTTATTCCAATACTATACGCCAGAGACTGCTGGAACATAAGTCGCTGGATTTTAAAACCGCGTACGACCATGCAAAGTCCCTCGAACTAGCGCAAAAACAGTCGTTGTCGTTTTTGCCGAACACTCAACTTCCCTGTGCCACCGTATCGAACGACCCGCCAAAGTCCCCACGTTCTCAAACGTCATCGCACGAGCAGGCGACTGCTGCCAGTGTGGGGTCTTCATGTTTCTTCTGTGGCTATGCTCGTCACCCGAGATATAAATGCCCCGCTAAAGATGCGACCTGCAAAAACTGTGGGAAGAAAGGGCATTTTCAAAAGGTATGCAGATCTACTGGTCCGCGGAACACCTCATCTGTTTCAAGTGCGCTATCTTGCGTCACTGCAGCGGCTCCCGAGTGTCTAAAAGAAGCAGTCACCGATGTGAAAGCCAATGGTGTCCCGCTTCGAGCTCTTGTTGATACTGGTAGCTCAGAAAGTTTCATTTCCGAAAAGGTAGTCCGTCGTAACAAGTGGTCTGTACTACCATCGTCATCTGAGATAACTTTGGCATCTATCCAGCACAAAAGCTTTACTCTTGGACATTGCTTTTTAACGTTGCAACACAAACAAAACAAGTATCCCTCTTTCAGGTTTTCAGTATTACGTGACCTCTGTGCAGATATTTTGCTAGGGCATGACTTTCTTAAGCTTCATAAGTCCCTGGAAATCTCATTCAACGGTGACAAACCTTCTTTTTCCCTTTGTGGCCTAATTGCTGCCAAAATTGAACCTCCCACTTTGTTCGAGCATATTGACCCAAGGTGCAAGCCAATCGCCATAAAGTCCAGGCGACATTCTGCAGACGACGAGGCCTTCATTGCTTCTGAAGTAAAGCGTTTACTTGACCAACACATCATTGAACCCTCGAAGTCCCCATGGAGAGCGCAAGTGCTCGTCACGACAAATGAACGACAGAAGAAGCGAATGGTGGTTGACTATAGTCAAACTATAAACCGATTTACGCAACTAGACGCTTATCCGCTCCCCAGACTTGAAGATTTAAGTACTAAAATAGCTCAATATCGTATTTTCAGCACGCTTGATCTTGAAAGTGCGTATTATCAGATACCCATTAAAGAAAGCGACAGAATCTACACGGCTTTTGAGGCTTGCAACAACCTCTATCAGTTCCGTCGAATACCTTTCGGAGTAACGAATGGGGTAGCCTGTTTTCAAAGGGTAATGGATGACATAATACGCGCCGAACAACTTACCGGGACATATGCGTATGTGGATAATGTTACCATTTGTGGAAAGAATCAAGAAGAACATGATCGAAACCTCCAGCTTTTCCTCACCGTAGCACAAAAGTACGGCCTTCAGTTAAATCACGATAAAAGCACGATTTCCACCACTAAGCTCAGACTCCTCGGCTATGAAATTACTGAAGGTATCATCAAACCAGACCCTGAACGCTTCAAGGTATTGCAAGAACTGCCCGTTCCGAACGACATCAAGTCTCAACAACGAGTGGTAGGATTGTTCGCGTACTATTCTCGTTGGATAAGCCGTTTCTCGGATAAGATCTACCCAATCACTCACAATACAACCTTTCCTGTCCCTGAATCTGTTATAAAAGCATTTGAAAGTTTGAAAAAGGAGTTGATGGATGCAGCCTTGGTCACTATCGACCCGAGAATACCTTTGGTGCTCGAAACTGATGCATCTGATGTCGCGATTTCTGCTACACTCAATCAAGATGGCAGACCGGTCGCATTCTTCTCACGTACACTGTCTGCCAGCGAAAAACACCATTCCGCTATTGAGAAAGAAGCTTGCGCAATTGTCGAAGCAGTGCGCAAATGGAGGCATTACCTACTCGGGACCCATTTCAAAATCATAACTGATCAGCGATCCGTTGCATTCATGTACTCAACACAACAAAAAGGGAAAATAAAAAATGACAAAATCCAACGGTGGCGGATGGAGTTATCGCCTTTTTCTTTTGACGTTACCTACAGACCAGGCATAGAAAACAAAGCTGCTGACACGCTTTCTCGAAGTGTCTGTGCGAACACTTCATCTAACCTGGATCTAAAACGCTTACACACAACCCTGTGTCATCCTGGAGCAACACGCATGATGCATTTCGTTCGTGCCAAGAATCTACCATTCTCCCTAGAGGATATCCGACTCGTCATTAAGCAGTGTCAAGTGTGTGCGGAACTAAAACCACGTTTCTTCAAGTCATCTGGCGGTACCCTCATTAAAGCCACACAAACGTTTGAACGCTTAAGCATTGACTTTAAGGGACCACTGCCTTCGACGACTCGAAACAAATATCTACTGACGATCGTAGACGAATATTCCCGTTTTCCGTTCGCCTATGCATGTCCAGATATCAGTTCGTCTACGGTGATATCATGCCTTGTGCCACTGTTCGCCACATTTGGCCTGCCAAGTTTCGTGCATTCGGATCGTGGCTCATCATTCATTTCGGATGAGATCAAACGATTTCTTCATGAAAAAGGTGTAGCCACCAGTCGGACCACTCCATATAATCCAAGGGGGAACGGCCAGGTGGAAAGATTGAATGGAACTTTGTGGAAGGCTATTACGCTTTCATTACGATCAAAGGGTCTTCACATCAGTCACTGGGAAACCGTTTTACAAGACGCTCTCCACTCGATTCGTTCTTTGTTGTGCACGGCCACCAATGCCACTCCACACGAGCGGATGTTTCATCACAATCGAAAATCCGCAGTCGGTACGTCCTTGCCACAGTGGTTGCTTTCGCCAGGACCAGTTCTGATGCGGCGAAACACACGATCTTCAAAGTACGACCCCCTAGTCGAAGAGGTTGAGCTCCTGGAATGTAACCCTGAGTACGCATATGTCAGACACTCTAACGGCATGGAAGAAACGGTCTCCCTACGTCACCTGGCCCCTTCAGCAGATTTCGGATGTGCTCCAGCATCCGAACAGCAGCAACCGCAGTCCAACGCTGATTCATTTATTAAACCGGAACTATCTGACTCTGCTTCGGAAAGTGAAATGTCGAATTCTTCTGAACACCCATTGGCTATACAACAACAGCGGACACGGCCGTATGTCCTGCGCAACAGAGGCCTGACATTATTCAATTATAAATCAAACTCTTGAGAACTTTCATCTCTGCGGGGGGTGAATGTTACATATTTGCTCTGTTTTTCAAACGTTTCATCATTTGCTGCTAACTCACTTTCTTCCGTTTCCGGATCTCAGTGTCAAAGTTTTGGATGAATAAAGCCTAGCTTTCGGGCCGTCAGTCTTTTCCATTATCATTCTGATTGTCGTTGCACTCCGACCCTCGTCGTACACAACAATAGGGCAATGGAATAAGCGAAAACAAGCCATCATCCTGGACCTCGCTCGGAGATTGCAGATTACACAGAGCATAAACAATGGAATAAGCGAAAACAAGCCATCATCCTGGACCTCGCTCGGAGATTGCAGATTACCACAGAGCATATGCTCGCCTACCATGCCAACATACTCTGCAAAGCTTCATTCTTATGGGACGCTTACGGGACTGCAGATATTTTTCCGCAAAACCATAGTTTGCCTCATTTTTGTCCATCTGCAGCATGGCTTTAATTGCCTGTGGATTGCTGTCGGCGATGATACTGACTGCTTTACCAACAGGATGATACAGACAATATTAAGTGCTCTAAATAATTCTCCCTCAGCTTGGTATGCGTTTCATATCTGCAGAGTGTCAAGTGCTGCTGTAAGACTTGATGGGCTTGTGGATTAGCCGAGTATCTTTACCGGGGTAGCTGTATTAGTTCCTGTGTTCTATCGAAAGACGATATTTTCACCTGGATGTGGAAGGCCAGGGCAGCTTTTGTCATCGTGCAACATCTGTTGCACAGGAGTTACGTCAGATGTCGGAAGTGCTGTAGTGGGATTAACCTTGTTATGTGAGTCAGAAGCCTGGCCGCTAGGGACGTTGAAGGGCTTTCGGTGTCTAATCATTCTTGGCTTTGGAGAATCGCTAGTCTGGTGGAAACACTGATCCAGTAATGCTGAGTACATTGGAGGGTTGCCGGGAGAAATAACGCCCACGATAAATGAACTGGTCGCACTCCACAGAGTGTGCTATCCTCCAAAACCGCGCGGAGGATGTAAATCAGCCAGGGGAGATCAAATAGTGACTTGGGTGCAAATTATGCAAGTCATTAGCGAGATGGCCCAAATGGTTAGAGCACGAATTTACTGACCGGAGGTCCATGGTTCGAATCCGACCTCCGCCACTCGACTTCCCCTGTCAAGGCTTGGGCAACCTGGCAGTATCCCAGCCCTTCGGTTGGCATGGCAGCTAGGCACCGGAAGGGTGCTACAGCTGAACGCTTTCATTAGCATCTAATTTACCTGCACTGTTTATTGCAGTCCCAGTGGATGATAGCTCGGAGACTAGATACATCGATGGGTTGGTACGTTGACAGACAGTGTCCAATCGCGAACAAACATACAAGCTGTTGCCTTCAATCCATAACCTCTCGTGCAAATCTCTCCAACGGATGATCCGGTCTCTCCTGGATCCACGCCTCCAATAAATACCTATCCATCTCCATCACCCCCAAACCATCGGCAAGCAAAACTGGCCGTTTTAGCCGCTGTATAACACGTCGGCGATTTGGCAGTCGATATCGATGACGTCCACCAGGGCGATGAGATGTACCTTGTTACTTCCTCGCCATCTCCGAAATCACTAACCCACACCTTTACGTTTTTTGCAGGTCTGCATTATTTGGGTTGTATAATCTCATTCTATCCCATTTTTGAATGCCCACTCTGGTTGTGCAATACCCGACTGGACACAAGGCAAGCATCGATGTGCCTCTAAATAAACCGCTAATCAAGGTAACTCAGAATTATCATTATTTCTTTCCAGGCACTAGAAATCGCATGTGCACGACGTTCTTTGGATCCTTCAAAACACATTTTTATGTGAGTTCATATCCGTGTGCTCCTTCCATTACCATACGCACTCACCTTCAAGTCTGTCGTTCGATTTAGATTTCAAGTGCAGGTTGGGGGCGAGATGGCTCAAGTGGTTAGAGCGCGAATTTATTGACCAGAAGGTCCGTGGTTCGAACCCGACCTCTGCCTCTCGACTTCCCCTGTCTAGGCTTGGACAGCCTGGCAGTATCCCAGCCCTTGTGCTTCCTTCAGGTAGCATGGCAGCTAGGCACCGTAATGGTGTTACAACTGGACGGTCCGATCAAGTACGGGTCAGATAGTGACTTACCGATCCCATCGTGATCAACAAATTGAGATGAGTGATGGGTTCAAATGCCAGAAAGCGACTGAAATGTTCATGTTTTCAACCCTGCATCGTCATCAGCATCGCTTCTATTATCAGCAGTTATCAGCAACAGCAGCTATAAACCACGGTCAGTCACACATCAATTCCATGTGCCACAATTTTAGTTCATTGGTGATTAAGAGATGAAGATGAAGATACTATGCATTGTAGGTGACACTTGAAACACGGAATTGCGGATCCAGTTGGGAATGTGTGTGTTGGAGCAATCATCGTCAACGTGGTTAAATAGACATTAAGCCGCACACTGAAGACAGCGACTGGGGTATGTAGTTGGACCATTTCTGCCAGGATTTGTTAAGATTGGCGTGTGTCGCCTCAAGCCTCGCATCTTGACAGGTAACATTTGTTAGTGCGACTGACTGGCAATATCTTCCATGTTTCGCTTTCAGATCATGACGTTCCTTCGAACCTCGTGCATGGTTAGGTGAAAAAGGCACCTCTGGGCAGGTGGTCCCATTACATTCGGAATACATTGCCATGCCAACAAAATCTGTGATGTATTATCAGCCCAGCTGCTGCCTCCTTGAGTTCTTCCAATAAAACATTCGGCGAACCTCAACATCGCTGGTCTTTTGCCAGACGCCAGAGGTTTCGATGGTCAATCAGTTAAAGCTTTCTTATATCTGCCGCTTGAAGTAGTCTGGTTTACGAACCGAATAGAAGCATGGAGTGCACTGTAGCGTCGTAGACCCAGTTCGACAAGTAGGTTGTTGTTACGTAAGGTTATTGCGAATGGACATGAGTTGGTCTTCTATGGTCGAGAGATTACTTCGTCTGCAGAGAGACTACTGGTAGCGATGCGGTTACCTAAGCAAATGATTTGGTTGGTTCGTTTAGCATCATTCAGTACTCCAGCAACACTACTCTTTGCAGACGTGAAGGGCATACCAAATTGCGCAGCGCAGTTATTTATTTTATTGTGTACTGCATGTGCTTGAATAAGATAGTATTCATAAAAATGAACCGTACTGATTGTCCGTAAGGTGACGTTCTGGGAGTATTTCTTACCCATAGGTACCAGGGGCTGGATCGGACTTTCCCATGATACAATCGATAACAAGGTTAAGGAGATATGAGGAAAGTGGACTGTTTGCTTATCATTGACTGATGTTGGACTCACACGTGGTAGCATGTCAGATGCTTTTACTCGACCACGAGGTTGTTGAAGAATTAGAGTGTGAAACACCCTCAAGCTATGACCAATGGAACTGACGGCGAGCGTCAATGCCAGAAAGGGACGGTTGTGCGTTGAAAGCAGTGAGCTGCCCTGATTGTGGTGATCGATACACATACTTGGTTTGATTCCTGCGGATTTGCCTACCTCTGTTTAGTTAGTCTGCGTAAAAAATGAAGTGCAGTTCTCATGGGGAAGTAGTAAGATACGTGACCAGCCTTGAATTTGGTGTGTTTGTTTCAGACAAGAAATAAGTTTATTACAACGGTAAGAGAGGCCTGTTGGTCAGTTCGATGAAGGGTACGGAATTTGAAAGCCTTCATATGAAATGCACGTCATGGATTAATCTTGCTTGATTTTATTTAACAGTCAAATTGATAGGAGAATTCGCTTAGACAGCTGGCGGATGATTCGGGAGTGTCTACTGAGGAATGGAGAAGGACTGCGGCTGGGCATAACCGGATACAGATCTGTTAAGCGGAATTGTACTTCTCGGTTGCCAAGGTTGAAGAACATGGCTTGTTTGAGATTCCGCGCGTTTGGCCTTCGACTCAGCTATTTGCCAGAAGAACCACGGCTTTTTATGATGTACGCTGCCCAGAGTCTTACCTAATGTTTTGAACTATTGGCCTGTCCTGCGGGTGCAGACGATATGGCGTGAAAATCTGGCTGTCGACTGTGCTGCGCATAGCAGACGTTTTTTGGATCGTTTCTAGTTTTAGTGTGGTATAGTTGTTTTTCGACAGACCATCGTTACAACTGATCGACGTTGTTCAGCTGCAGCACCCTTTTCGGTGCCTACCATGCCACCTGAAGGAAGCACGGGGGCTGGGATCCTATTAGGCTTCCCAAGCCTAGACAGGGGAAGCCGAGAGGCAGATGTCGCTCGTCAGTAAATTCGCGCTCTAACCACTGGGCTATCTCGCCATCTTGACACTGGTGCTCCACTACCGTAGAACTACAAAGTCGATTTAGTTAAATCCAGAGCCTTAAAATGAAAAGAGAAAAGAGTACATATAGGAGGGACATGGTGCTGGCCCATCGCAGGTATCCTGAAGCACCTCAGCTCCAAGAACTCAGTCATACTCCGGAAGGAAACTGGCACCACGAGTGCTAAGTGACATGGGTGAGATGCTATTTCTTGCAATATTTTCAATCGAGCCATGGGGAGATGTCGAAGAGATCCTATCCAGGATTATGGCGAGATGGCTCAGGGGTTAGAGAGCGCGAACGTACTGTCCGAAAGGCCCCTGGTTCGAACTCCACCATTCGTGCATCTCGGCTTCCCCGGTCTAGGCTTGGGCGACCTGGCAGTATCCCAGCCTTCGTGCTTCCTTCGGCTGGCATGGCAACTAGACACCGAAAGACTATCACAATTTAACAATTATTACCCAGGGTTATGGAGTGCATCAACAACGTCCATGCTCTTCTACCAAGTTATAATTTTGTCCACACCGCATATCGCGCCTTCCTAAAGCAGACACAGAGAACGACATTCGTCTCGGTAGACGATACCTCCGCCTGCGCGACAGATGACCCAGCCACGGCCAGCACGGCAGTTGATGGTGCACGATGTTTTCTGCCGTACATCGAAAAGCCGTTTTCTAATTTATTCGTTTGAAATTCGTTGACATCATGCAGCGCCAGCTCTTCTGAGACACCGGAAGACCGAAAACCTGAAAACCCCCAGTTCATCTCTCCGCTGAAGGGACGAAGACAGCACTCGATTGTGAATCAGGTTCTTTGAGGTAGCAAATTAAGTTGATCAGGTTGAAGCCTGCGCCTCTTCCCTATGTCCACATGATTCCCTTGGATTATGACTCGAAGCCCTGGGGTACATGATGTGTAACCGATCTGAATGGCGAGCATGTTACTTTCTAGCCCGACTGTTGAGCTAAAGTTTTCCGCTTCCTGCTAGGCTTTTGTTGGGTATGTTCCGAAAAGGATGTCGAGCCAATAGCGTTGATGGCCTCTCATTCCATTATTCTGCTCAAATGTGTTCTCTCAATGCTGACCTAGGATTATGTACCTTTTCATTTGTGGTATTCTTCAACTCAATCTGGAGTGCAAGAAAATTACTTCGGCATCTTGATTGCCGTCCCCTTTGAGCGCAACACATTCAATTGGAATGTACTACTCATGTAGATCCAGTTGCATTTCTCGTTAACACCAACTGAATTTGCAAATGAGTTTTAATCTACACATACGTCCCATTTGGTGTTCAGTTATGAAATGAGGTTGACTTGAATTCAGAGTCTAAGTCCACCTGATGAGCTCTCTGAAAGGTGAAAGACATAGCGGACTATCCACGAATTTTCACCAACCCTGTAAGTTAGTATGGACACTTTGTTCTTGGCTGCTCTCACAGGGGAAATAAGCTTTCCAATGCAAGCCCCCTCACCCCACTTTCATCTATAGAGTGTTTTCCTCCGTGATTGCATAAGATTTAAGCGTTTACTGACCTATAACTGTTGACTTAGACGATACTACTTAGTTTTATGCTAAAAGAGGATAAATCTCTCCTTAAACTCTTCCCGTGAAGCACGAGCACAATCTTTGAATGCAGTGGGAGTTTGTTCCCGAGCGGCGTCCCCAGCACTGCACGACGTTTGCCCGAGGTTGCACCTTTAACTTTGCCCAACTAACTGTTGTGAGCAGGACCGTCAGAAAGGCCGCCCAGTCTTCGGTAGCTTCTCACTACGCCCTTGTAGCATCTCTGTCAGAAACCGTCAGCAACAGCGGTGATTTTAGAATTGGCCTTGCCAAGGCTGTGATGATGGTGACGGTAATGAGCGTGGATTGTTGACTGGTACCGAAACTTGGCTATCGTCAGACATGTCAGATTAGGAGATTCACCATCGGATTTGCCTTATTTGAAGCTGATCATGCCGTTGGTAGCTCTGGTGACATAATCTGATCTGAGGCTCTCAACTTGTCGTCGTGGTTGGGCTCCAGTTCTGCAGTGATTCTGTGGTCTACACCTCCTTAGACTCCAACCATGTCAGGAACACCAACCGGGGGCAATCAGACGAGGGACAGTTAGACCTCATACTGTAAGGCGGATTGGAGATAGGACCTTTAATATTTTTAAGGTGCTTCTTCCAGGTGACTAGCATGTTCATATTTATGGGAACAGGGATGCCGCCTTTCTCCAATGAATGAAATGGCTTGCAAGGTGCTCTCTGGTGTCATCCCACATAGGTTGGTCCGTAATAGCAGGAGTTAGACTCACGTGAATCAAGATGAGTTTCACCCTGATCGGGGTTGCATCGAAGAAATCATCACTTCGCGATAAGTTGCAGAATTGCGTCTCTTCTTCCAACGACCGACAGTGGTAGTCTTCCTCGATCTCCAACCTACTTTTGATTCCGTTGATCGTTAGTGACACTACTTGGCGGTGCAGCGGTTCTATATACCTCCGCAATTTTCTACTGAAAGCTCTGCTAAGTTCACCACATTCAGTGGTGTCACAAAGATGCCCTCCATCTCCTTTTTTTAAATTCCTACTCAATGTGCTGCTGGACTCGAAATAGCTCAGTGGCTAGGGCTCCAGTCTACAGAGCGGAAGACCCGTGGTTCCGACCCAACTTCAGTACCTCTACTGTTCTTGTCTTGGGTTGGGGACCTGGCAACTTCCACTCCCTCGTACCTCCTTCCGCTGGCATGGGAGCTAGGCATCGAAAGGGTGCTACAGCTGCACGACTGAGTCTTTTTCTGCACCTGACAGCGCGGGGCGAGTTCTTTCTGGGCGTTTGCACACGAACAATCTGTGTGCCAACTCCTTTGCTTTTCTTAGATCAAACCATTCAGAAATGCAAATTACTTGAAATAACTTTCATGTTTCTGCTGCGCAGTTGGACATGCGCTTTAAACCCTGAAAGTATGGTGTTACTGCAAGACTGAGTGTGATCAAATCTAAACATCATACTTGCAGATTAATCGATCCATGTGGCAGATAAGTCCCTGTAGCTGGCTACCTGTAGAATTTCTGGTGGACTGGGGAAAAACGAAATTAGAATGCCAAGGCACCATTCGCTAACGTCCGATATTTTTGGCGTCGACGTGACAGCCCGGTTGCCAAGGGTAGAGCATACATAGCTGCGGGTCAATCTGTCCTACTTTATAGATCAGACACATGGCTACTGTGTGTGGAAGATCTTCGGAGACTCCCTGTGTTTTACCGTTGTTGCCTGCGAAGCATTTCGCCGGTCTGGTGAGAACATCAGATTAATGATGCTGAGATACGCCAGACGGTTTTCAGGGAAGATCAGCTAGATAAGCTAGTCCCATTCCACAGGTTGCGTCATCTACTTCATTAGCCTGAAGGTGGTTGGCTTGGAAGAAACGCCTTCACCCAATCGTGTATAGGATGAAGATGACCCGGGGGTGGACAGTTCATAACTGGCCACCCAAAGGTATCGAAGTCCTTTCCAATTAGCTGAGTCCCGTTGATTGCTGCAGTCTCCCCGGATGGGTTCCGTGGGGCGAGACAAACCAGTGCTTAGTGACCCTGACATATTTCCTAATAAAATTTTTAAATTCACCATGAGTTTCATATCTTTTTTGCTCCTAACACTTTCATGTATGGATAAGTGTTTCCGCTTGTTGGTTTGCTTTCGTTCACGTTTTCGCTTCTCACAGTTGTTTTTCTATTTTGCATTGCTCAGTCACAATCGTCGCCCGGTTGACCTCACTGTCACTTTTCGCTACTCCGGGCTCGTGAACAATGCAGCAGTTGACCTCATTTTAGATGAAGACAAACGCACCACGCAAACCGATTTGGCTGCGGAAATACGGCTGTGTTTCCGGCTGGACAGCGGCCAGCGTGTCTTGTGGTCCGGCAGACCTTCCTTACCCCTCTGGTCCATCTTGACGGAACTGGCCTCGAATTCTGCGGAGTAAGCATATTGATGTTTTACGTGGCGAAAATAGCATATGGTAGCGTACCTTGAAGTCGAAAGTATCTCAAGATACCTTGTCTGGACCTCAGTTACCTGAAAAAATATCCAAGCCTTGGTGGCTGGGATATTTCTTCTGGGATTTGCTAGTGAGTCCTAATCCAGATGGAGAAGTGCGAAATGGACTTAGTTGAGAATAAAAGTTGATAATGATTGCATCACGGTGTTCTGGAATGCGTAGTTTGTCGTCAGACGTTCAGACTGATTCATCACTACTTTACAATCCCAAATTCGTGTTCATATCATTCGTTTGAACAGTTCTGGTTGATCAATGTCATATGCGGAACACTGGACTCGAGTTTCACTGTCGTTGAATTTTGTCAGCCGTGAATATCCTGCTATGTATTCGCTATGAGAGACAGTCACTACTGTCACTACTGCTACTCCACTGGCACACACTGGACTTTGTTTGAATAACTCCTGAGGCCAAAAGAAATAGAAATGAACAAGGAAACTTTAATGTCGCATATTCCCCTCCTTGTTCGCCTAATAGGAATGAGAATATACTAACTGTTGAGCCGTAACATCTTTCCTGTGCCTAACTGCCATTCCATCCAAAGGAAGCACGAGAGTTGAGGTACCCCGAGTTTGCCCATGCCCATACAGGAGCGGTTGAGATGCAGAGGTTGGGTTCGAATCACGGACCTTTCGGTCTGTAATTTCGAGCTTTGATTCCTGAGTCATCTCTGGCTACTTGTCCACTTAAGGATTTCATTGTATTTTTAGAATAAAGAACTTGATATCCGAAGAAGGCAAGGAGGCGGTGGGTCCGCTCGGTGTTATCTTTCTTCAGGAGCAAGTAAGTTCACATGCTTTTCACGCTGGCTAGTTCGGCACCTTTGCTCTCCGCGGTTATCATTTACCAGAAGGGGGTGATGACCACCTGTCGTGTCAGGTTGTTCTGGTATCTTTCGTAAGATACCTGGATAAAGTTTTTCACGCTGAGCCCGTAGTGACCTTAAGGTGGTATCGATAAAAGCCGAAAAATGCTGACCGAATAGGGGATAGTGGATATTCAATGCTTCTGGTTTTATGCCAGTATCTAAGTGCTCCATTAGGACACCTTAGTTTCACACATAGTCATGTCTGGGTTTCTATTGAGATACTTTGAGATTCCCGTAAAATCATCCGAATGATTTTACGAAGGCATCGGATGTGAACAAGGTGTGGTCATTCTGCTGAGTATATCAGCGAGCCAACTGTCTGGTCGTGTCCAATAGGTACCGACTTGATCGAACTCATTAGTTTTCACTGGCTGTTGTGAGCCGTGATTAGCAGGATCCCGTGCGTTGGCGGCAGCGCGTATGACTCTGGAATGTAGCACACCTCATACATGTGGTTCAGTCATCTGTATTCAAACCTCTTGTAGAACCAGGAGCAGTATGACGGATTCCACAAAGCTGGAAGTAGGGTGACACGATAAATAGAACAAGAAGCGGAATAAAGCAGTGAGGGATAGGCTCGATTTGGATCAACTGGTCAATTAGGATACACGTAACCATTTCCAGAAGCAGAGCGGATATAGTACGTTTTCGAAGAACAAGTAATTCAGGTTACTACTAATGCATGGTACGGTAGTCCTCACAAAGAAGCCCCTCAAGAAGAATAACCCTTTTTGGAAGTGTCAGTTTAGCGACCCATCCTGTAGCTAGCTTCCCAAAACGATTAGTTTACTCTACTCACTGTGTTCAATGTCATGAGTATTTGTGGCTAGCCAGTATAGATATTCTATTTATGGAATACTGACTGTTTAGCCATACCGTATGGATAACCGACATTGCATCGATATCCAAGATACTGCGGGTTGTCGAAATAGGCTTTGTGTTTGGTTCTTCATTTCCCTCATGCTGGTGGTCAATCGTTCCCCTTCTGTTTTCACTCCTCCTTGATTAGATAATCGGAAGGATGAATTTAGAGGCTACGAATCCAGCTGAACTGGGTATTTTGCGTGGTTCAGCGTTGCTCCAACTTCAACAATTTCCACCTGGTCATCCGATACCTTCAACTCCCGCCGCACCCATTTCTGGGGTGGCGAAAACAACAGAACCTTTTGAAACGCACTCAGACGGAGGTGACGTTATCAACCCAACCGAGATTGCTTTGGAGACTCTACCACCTGACTCGAATGACCAGGATTGTATGGAGCATGTGACTGTGCCCTTTCGCAAGCCAGAAGGGACGTGTAAGTGGCTGAATAACCTTCATTTTCGGTATCATCCCCATCACTCTCCAGGCGTCAGACATGGGGGAAAGTGACAGTATGTGTATCGAACTAGAGCATATCACACCTCTTCATCGAAGGGCGATCGTTTAATTGAGGCGAACAATATACTATTAGAGCTATCCGGTGGCTTGATCACCCTTATTGTCAACTTTCTTTTTTGACCTCCCATTATTAACTCAAAACTCTTGGGAGTGTATTTAGCTGTTGTAATTGTCGGGGTCACTGGATGGTATGGTTGCGACAACTAGACACGTCACCCTTTAGAACGAATTTAAAGATTGTCGTGCCTCTGTTCGCATAGCTTGCCCCATCACTATTAAATCCTTTGTTTTAAGTACTGAAGTTACGGGCCAGATAATGCAATCAAGGTTTTAATTTCCTTCGAATGACCTTCAAAAGTAACTTTGATTCTTGGTTGTGGTTAGTCGGTTTCCCATCGGTGACGGCACTTCTGTTTCCCACGTTTCTGTTTCACAGCGGATGTACACTTTGAGACGGAATTTGTCTCGCCTTATAGCGTTTTTGCCGAACGACCAACACAGTCGGTCTTCGGGCAGCCGGAGGGATGTGACGTGGATCATCAGACACAAAAAGAGGTAAAAAATCGCTTTCCTGTTGTTGCTCTCAGCCATAATACTCTGAAGGGTTCACTGAAGAAATTGGTTCGGTTTCTTGGTGACCATATAGGTGAAACGAAGTCTTGACAATGGTCAAGTTTAAATTTGATCATTTACCTGCAGGCTTCCAGTCTTTTTCACTAACTTGCTAAGATGTCGTGACTGGTGGGTCAGCTGGTTGTCACCACCAGATCTACCACTCGGTTGTTTTCCAAGTTGCCGGGCAGGCTATTCGCCCCACTGAAAGTGCGGAATGTTCGCTCATTCGAACATCCAGCAAGCTCACCTCACTTGGCAGAGGTCCAAGCATATGCACCGTTGAGAACCAAGCTCATCATCGTCATGATTGACAGTAATACACCAGTAATATATACTGGTGCTTAACTGTCACGAACTCAATTCGTTGTGGATCAGTGTGTCAATAATTGTTTTATAGAACAGTGGGAGGATCGTCGAGGCAAAACTGCTGTCTGTGGGTGGGAATTTCAGTTTGACTTCTCTTCGGCCTGTCATGTTCACGAGATGAAACATACTTCAGTCGTTGATGTGATCGGCCTGATCCACCGTACTGTTTCGCTCAAGTGTCCCACCCCTATGTCTGCTCATGTCCCAACTTCCATATGGGCGCGGCATAGTTTGTGTCTGTTAACCTGAAATGGCTTCCAGTCCACGTAGATGTGCGCCGAATTTAAAGTAGTGTCTACTAACGGTGTGGTTACAAGACGCAGTTTGAAGTCTGAGCTACGAAAAAAACAAAAAAACTACAGAGATCTCATCTCTGAAAATCGGTGTGCTTTTCACTTGGAATGAGCCATAGAGCTACGCTGTCATTGCTAGTAAAACTGATTCCATATCGGTGAAACAGATACATGAAGCATTTGCGGTCGGAGTAGCGGGTCTGGAGTGTCTTGTCAACTTATGAGATATGTTAACCAGCGTTACTCACTGTTGCCAGGCAGAAGGTTACCCAATAGTGCCGCTGGTCTTCCTGATCGCACACGGTGTTGAAACATGTGGACAGCAAAGCAAGGTGGATCACGCCTTTCATATCATCACAGATTGGCTTCAGTTGATGATGTCCTGATCTCGATGCGTTTGATAGTGCTTGTAGTTCACTTACATAGAAGCTACACCAGGTCGCATGCGTGTGTGACTTGAAAACCGAGTTTGTGGTTCTCCTGACTGAGAACTGTAGATTTGTGACACAGAGTTCAGCTAGGTGATTCACAGAGATTTGGAGCTAGAATGATCGGAGTGTACACCGTTCTCCCTTCGAGGGAACACGGTTTTCGAAAATGTCTCTTCAGCGATGGGGCTTTTTTGTAGTAGGATGACTACTGAACAGTATCGAATGTTTTTGCCCTGGGTCATAAAATTTCATTTCAATCCGGGTTCTCTTTTCAACAGCCTTTGTGAAAGTGAGACAGAACTGTTCACTTAGTCCACAATGAATGTTCTGGCAAAATTGCAAGAAGAAACGCTTACTTTTACCAATGTCACTTTTCCGGTGTCACTCAACTTGTTTCTGCAGTTTCGGTGATTGCATTTCCAGTTCGTGTCAGAGCACTGAGGGATGTGAACTTGAGATGGATATGTGGTAAACGCGTGACCGCATCGTCTGTGGTTCAAAACCAACCCCGACATCTCAACTGCTTCCGTCTTCTAGGCTTGAGCAACCTGACAATATCCCAGCGGTCGTGCTTCTTTCGGTTGGCATGGCAGCTGGACATCGAAAGGATGTTACAGTTGAACTGCTACTTTTGTGGTTCTTATTATCATGGGATGTCGCTTTGTCGAGATGGCAGTTTAGTATAAACCACTCGGTCTACCAGGCCACTCAGATGAGCCGAATTGCGAGGCATTCCCTCTAATATAGTTGCCTGTGGAATCCGAAAACTTGTCCTGTCATCGAGCACTTCCACGTCAACGATACGTTCTCATATGTCAACCTCTGGGAGCTGGGAAATACTTTGTAGATACGTCGTGCAGAATCGTCGTTTTGTCAGCGTCACACTTTTCGCATAGAATTGTATAAATGCTTTGTTTTGAGCCATCACATAATCGATTGGCTGCGTGCGGTTGACAGAAAAACGCATGGCTGACTGGTGTTCGGTCCAGATCATTTTAATCGGACGGCAAACGCTCCGACAAATATTGATGATTGCCCAACTCAGCGAACAAGCCAACGACCACTGATGATTCTCATCCGAAGGCTACCTCTCGGCTGAAAATGTGATATTTGGGCCTAGTGTTTTGTGAAATAATGGACCCATGGAATCCTTTTGCACTACCGTATAGGTTAAGGTTATTCGAGCATTGGTATCTTCAACAGACAAAAGTTCAGTCATGTCATCGGACCATGATAAGGCCCATTCAAGAACCGACATCATCCTTAAAGGATAGGCATGTATACTCCGACAATTGACTATCACGATCCGAACGGATAGAACGAGTAACTCACTAAAGTGAAGAATGTGAGTGGTAATCGACGTGAACTGAGCACTAAATCATTCAGCTGTAGCACCCTTTCGATGCCTGCTGCCATGCCCACACGAACGAGGCACGAGGGCTGGGATACTGCCAGGTTGCCCAAGCCTATACAGAGCAAGTCAAGACGTCGGGTTCGAACCACGGACCTTTCGGTCAGTAAATTCGTGCTCTGACCACTTGGTCCATCTCGCCCCCTACCGAGCACTATGCCAAACACCTTTCACATTTGCTATTTTTGGACAGTGTGCTCGGCTACAGTGGCGAAAGTTCCATCGAATTCAACTTCACCATTAATCGAGTTGGATGTGGTTGGCCACCCCCAGTACTGTTCAATAAGCTCAATGTTGATATACGGTTAACGAGGGAGTAGATTGGTGCAGTTGGGGTGACTTTGTGTTTCATGATTCGGACAAACTAAGGTCAGACTCTTTGTACGAGCAAACCACGCAGATCTTAGTTAATGTGAGACTCAAGAGTTATCGTTAACTTAACCTTTGTATTGTGGGCATAGGTAGGTGCTTATGTAAACCTTATCGAGTTTCTAATTCGGCCTGTAAACATTTCAACCGGAATTCCAACGAAAGACTTAGTGTTGATACGTCCAAAATGAAAACTGCTGAAAATTACCTCCTTGGAATTCGAGGTGACCAATCCAGGAGTCAACTTGATTTTCCGTAGAATAGCTTGAGATAGTTCATTTGGTAAGACCTGAAGTTACTGAGTGGAATGTCTGTGGTTCGAACCCAACCACAGTATCTCGACTGCCTGAGTCTGGGCTCGGGTAATCTGACAGTATCCAAGCCCGTGTGCTTACTTCGGATGACCTGTTATCTAGGCACCAAGAGGGTGTCACAGCTGCACCACTGATTGTTTTATTAACCCATCGGATTTGGAGCGTCGCTCGTCCCAACATATCCCTGAGCCAACTGTGGTGTTATATGAGGTTTTTTCATTCCAGTTACTTTGACATTTAACCAGTTCGTCGGTTTGTAGTGCTTTGATTTTGATCAGTTGGTATCAAAATAGTAGTTCGGATGGTGCACAACAGTCCCTCCTTTTCACCTTGTCTTGATAGCCTGAAACACTTGGTGATCTTCTGGGCATTAGCCTGGAACCTGGAATGGAATCTATGGGTGCAGCGTCACAGAGTGAATCCAATGTTCAGTTTGACCAGTTCAAGGTGAGCAATCTATCTGCTGATGCTCTCTTGTGTTACACCTGTTTCTCCCAAGGAAATGACGTAATTGTACAGTTGCCTCTTCCGGAATTAAGACCTTTGGGTTGCTTGATTCTTTGGGAACCCTGTATTACTTTTAATTCCAAAAATTTACGATTCGTCCCTTCTGCTGTATTTCCCAGTTTTTTTATCTTCATGTTCACATGGACTTTTAAGTCCGAGAGCTGGGTCTGTTCCGACCTCCTTTTGATTCTTGGTCGATCCGTCTGCCGTATTTTTCGAATACCTTGCAAACTTTCTCACCAATCGAGTTGACATCATCAGCTCTTGGTTAGATGAATATTTTCAGTCCTTTTGCCAATAGGTATCTAATTTCCTCAACTTTTTTTGGCTAATTCAGCACCACTTCATCGTAACCTGATTGCATCTTTTTCGCTTGGTGTTGATTCGTGGTGGACACAACTCTAAAGGGCTTAGTCGTTTCGGGACGCTGTCGTCCCACGAACCAATCAAGCTCAAAACCGCACAAGAAACCATGGAAAAGCCCTGTAGAAGGTACTGAGAGAACGAAAGTTGAGCGGGATTTTCAAGACCCCCTGTTGGGGACCATGGGACTGACACCAGTGTGCACAGTGGTATCCATTACATTGATCATGGAGACAATACAGATGTGCCGTGGTAGGATTCTGTTGGCAATACTGCAGCGCTTTGGATACCGCCCCGGTCATAGGTAAACTTACATTCTCTAAGTTGTGACACCTACTTCCCAAAAGTGAGTCCTCCCCAAGTAAGATTCAATCCATCAGTTTGAGTTGGTGTATGTTGAAGGTTCAAACCCTCACACAACCCGTCATATAGATTTCCAATATGTATGCGACAGCTAAGCGGCCTTGACACTAGTGGGATTAGCTTTGTTGGAGGACATCCAAAATTGAATTGCCGATCGTCTGCTCTTTTGAAGCGTTGTGTCGGTTGCACTCTCTAGTGACCAATCAAACTAGGGCCAATCAAACTTTGAACACTCGCTGACGCAATCACTAGCCCATGCCGACTGAAAAACGAAGTGCACACATTATGGCTGGATGTACAGTCCATGCAAATCCACATTCATGCGAACTCAAATTTAAAATCCCTTTCCGGATTTCAGCTTAGCCTTCGATGTGGGTAACTGATGCCATTGTACTGAACTGTGTGGTGCACATAGTCTATTATCCTCAAAGAGGCAAAGAGCGGGCCCCCTTGGTGCCAACTAGATTACAGTGGCTCCATTCTAACTTATGTGGTGTTTACTTGGACGCAGGAATCTTACAGACCTTAGTTTCACCAGTTCCAGGTTTTGCTTATTTCTCAATGTTTCTATCCCTTTGGTTACAGTTCCCCGAAGAAACTGCCGGTGTTGACTTGCGACTCAAGAAGTAAGCTGCCAAAAATTTCTTTCATCATGCATTCGGTCAGGAGGGAGCACGAGCGCTGGGATACTGCCAAGTTGCCCAAGTCTATACAGGGCAAGTTGAGAGGCAGAGGTCTAGTTCGAACCATGGACCTTCCAGTCAGTAAATTCGTGCTCTAACCGTTAGGCCTTATCGCCCCACTTTTGACAGTAAATTACTTAATTACTTACCTAATTAATTGCTTAATTACTTGGTTGCTTTACTCCAGTAATTTATGGGGACGAATTGTTTTTGTTACTCAGAGATTTGGGTCAATTGTCCAAATTAGATTTTGGTTTGTATACATGTGGTCGTAAAATGCTAGCTTTTTCCCCAAGCAACCCGGATTTCATTCGAATCGTTTTGTTAGCTAGCATGCGACAACAGCAACATTTGGAAAATTTGTGCAACGAGGACAGTACAGGTTTGTAACGCTTCCTGAACTTCATACCTGATGCACATCAAGCCATCCGGCCACAGCATGTTGAATCCCTTCTCATCCGTTAACCTCACATCCCCTGTTCATATCGACAGGTTTACCTTGACTTGAACCCCTTATTCATCCTATCGAATATCAACGGTAGTGCAACGAGCTTCCATTATTCCACCTCCTTTTGACTATCTGCCTACTCTGACTTGCATAAACTTCCTCCATTAAGTATCGCATGCACTTGGTAGAATCTCTGCACCCGGATGTGCCGCCTTGAAGTTCATCGGTTGTGACCGAACGAAACTCCCAGACTGCTTCATTTCGCCGGTTCGGCTGTTTTTACCTTCTTTCATCCACTCAGTCCAATTCATGTTCAGGTCGACATCAGCTCACCATGCTAATACATGAGCCTCTCAGTTTGACGTGATTAGTTGTTGTCTGAAATCCTCTCAACCTGTTTGGGTAGACTAAAACGGACTTCTCAGTTTCGTTCGTCGTGATCATTTTCCTACTGTTCATTTAAATCCAAATTAAGTTCAATTCAATTTCGATCTGGAAGCGGGTACTCCACGGCAAATTCGCTCAACTATTAAATCGAACTGGATCCAATATCTACATCTACGTGCAAAAGACCAGCATCTCAACCGGAACGCTTAAGGGGGACCGAATATTGCATTCACATACAAAGAAACAAGGAACTCCTTGGATTCAAATCAATAAGGGTCACAAGCCGGAACTCGGAAGGACAACGGTCACTCCAACATCGACCAGATTACGATGGCGGGGAATGCCAAGCTCAAAGGTCACGTGGGCATCGGTGAATGAGGACACGGGAAAACTGAGCCAGCAACGGAACCGCCCGACCGAACAACTAATCACGGTCAAAGGTCATCCCCGGCTAGCAGCACGTATATTAACACACACGTAACACTACTCAACGCACAACCACTAACCCACCGCTACGCACCACTACGCTCCCCAGTAACGCACTGATGATGTCACCTCGATTGGTGATGAAACGTTTGCAATCAAACTGCCCAGCTCAGCGAAAAAGCCAACGACCATCTACCCTACCTGGACTACCAACATTTTCGTCCATAATTTCGATCTATTTGACCTTTTACTTGTTTTAGCCGGTTATAGAACGAGCTGCGTCTCTGATTCAACTGTATGTTTTGATGTTCGAATTACTGGACTTATCACGTTCCGATATCGGGCAAGCTTGTCTGAGTCATTCCCGTTTGCAATACTTTTTCAGTTCTGACGACGATATGTATTCTGTCAACCTGAATGTTGACCGTGAATGCATCGCATTTCGACTTGCCCCCATCACTCAGACAACTTGTGAGTTCGAATGATGTTTTGCGAATCCTTTACCTTGGGTCCCAATTACTTCCATTACCCAATCTAATTTTCTTCTACAGGTTCATGTTGCTCTCTGTACTGATCGAGCTAGATTGTTCATAATTTTTAGTAGGCAGTTGGACACCGCGGTATTAAACAGGCACCAAGGCCATGACGAAGAATGACAGTTGGAACGCAACTGAGGATAGAGCTCTTCGTTACTTGGCCATGTCTTTGATCCATATTCGATCGCTAAATGGAAAACTTAACAGCTTTTAATTTTGGTTAGACACACTTACGCGAGTCCAGTTCGAATCATTGGGCGGTTTCATCCAATTTCGTATTTCGCGTTTCATCACGAACAGACCGGACTTTACCGTGGTATGACGGTTTGTGTGCCTTCGTGACCTGTTGAGCTGTACTAGAGTGTGTCCCTGCGCCACTCGCAGTCTCTCATTCCAGGTTGGTCAGTGGTAAGAAATCTGATCAAAGCAGTCTCCTGGCCTTCCAGGTTTGCGGTTGAAACATGCATGGGGACTTATTCTTTAAAAATGGCGCCAAACCGACGGAGGTGCATGAAGGAGATCTCAATGAATCTTGATGCTGCTGGCGCAACTTACCTTCCAGGATGAGGACCGTATTTGCCCCACTGTCCCCATTTGGAGACGCTGCAAGATTTGGCCGACAATCGATAACACTGGCGTTCCTTTTTTCACTTTCTGTCGAAATTGTCTGATTGAGGGTTCTGGAAATGTGGACACTTCGGAATGATTGTGGGAGGCTATCACCAATTCCGCTTCCTATCCACTTTCGTTCTTTTCTCCACTATAATATTTTCATGTAAATTGTAGTTGTACGGAAGCGAAGTATCAGTATTGAACATTGATATTATGCCGTCGATTATCGTGATTTTGATGTTTTTCGCTTAAGGTAACAGTGATAGTGAAACTACTACTAAAATCCAATGGAACACAATTAGGTATTTCAGTTTAGTACTGATAGTCATTAGTGCGTGCTAGATATGGCCAGCTCGACTGCACCTGTTGAGGAAAGAAACTCTACAACAATCGTAATCTGCCAGAGAGCCGAAATGGCTCACTGGTTAAGTCCTTGGCTTACTGGCCGGAAGGCTCTTCATTTTCGAACCCAACCGCGGCATCTCAACATTCCCTGTCTAGGCTTGGGCACACTGGCTGCATCTCAGTACTCGCGCTTGCTGCTATACACCAAAAGGGTGCTACAAGACTGACTGTAATCTACCAGATCGATTAGGTTTGAAAGACGTTGGATGTGATCATCAGGATATATGACAAGGAACACATCTAGTAACATATCGCCACATCATGCATAGATATTGTTTCCTCGTAGAAACATTCTATTTTGATGTTTAATTTGGAAGAAGGTCTGTTCCCGCTTCTAAACGGTATTTTATCATCTAGGGACCGAAACTCGTCCCGTTCCATGACTGCTAAGACCGCAGTAGAAAATTCAGATGTTCATATAGTTTCTCCGCAAGGTGTGTGACAGTCTTTGACAAAAAAAGCTGTCAGTGGAAAAAGAACACTCCGACCGAATGACACGCAACATTCAGTTCATGGTTGACAGGCAAAAACAAGAATGTTTATTGATGAAACTTCCTGCGCCAACAGCCCCAACTCTGACTTGGTCGCATACTGTGAATTCAAGTCCGACCATTTGTTCATCACTAGTTAGAATACCACTTGATTCAGCGTTATCAAAATTTTAGAAACCTGTCTCATGAAGAACTACCGAAATCTCTCATGTGACAAGAGACCATTACATCCGTTGACTGGAATGTTTTTGTTGCTATCTTTCTGGAACCGTCTTAACCAGTTGTCTCGAAGCAAAGTGGCTCCCAGCGCTGTTTTAGGACTTGCATCATCAGGGCCTCCTTGTGTCCTTGTTTGAATCGCCTCGTACAGCTTTAATCTACCGAACATTTAAGCGCCAGTGTTGTCCCATTGGTGATGAGCGTAGTGAGCTTGAAAGCAATCCCCCGGTGCATCGTTTACGTGACACGTTCGTTTCTGTGGTATCTGTGGATCGTTGTGCATTTAAACCGTCGATTGATGACTGAACACAGTTTGTATGCCGATTCTGTACACCGAACTAAACAAGAACATTTTGGCTGCCCCAGCACACGTGAGCTTTGTTTTTACCAGTTCGATCAACCACTTATCGATTTGTGTAATCGAAAAGTGGTTCGCCTTGGTGGAGGAGGTTCTCATTTTAGGTATCATCGTAGGAACAGTGATTACAACTCGTGAACTTGATGCCGGTCCGACAAGTAATGATCGATATCATTCACTGGAAGCCGTTCATCTGGTACTGCTAGCTAGATCAATACTGTTGAGGCCAAAAGTTATTGCTATGCATCTCCACTCTCGTCTCAGCTTCCAATCCAGGCTCGGATAAGTACTGTTTAAGTAGAACATAAGGTTAACGGAAACTCGTGGACTGCGTCTACCTGATGGGCCCCAAGAAGGGCGAGACGTGTCGTGGGCTGTCGAAGAGTTTTCAGCAACCTTGTGAGTAGTTTCGTTTATGAGCATACAAACGAACTTTTCCGACATAGTGACCGAACCCGTAAAAATTTCACAGCGTGCAACGGGACTACTTACATCAGTCTTTGCTGCATGGGAATTTCGTCTAAACACAGAACTCCCTGAATCCTAGCTGACGACCAGATTGATGTATCAGTTGTTGACACTCGCGTGCACCTGTCATTTGATTAGATTTGATCATGAGCTTTACTCCGCTCTGTTCCGCAGGCGATTGTTTTCGATTCCACGTGGACTTTTTTGATCAGCAACTTTATTCTGGTCACACTGACATTTTACACACTCATGGTTTGCTGGATGATATTTTGGTGGCTTTTTGCGTTTTACTTCGACAGTTTTTAAATATTCAGTAACTGCCTGGGCTCACGTACATTCCTCTGGAGTTTCAAGAGGCCAGGTTGATAGAAGACAGGTCTGCGAATGTAAGAGGCGGTTAGGATAACACCACACAAACACTACTACACTGAAACATCGAAGAGAGGAACGCAACCAAACAAATAGTCAGCAACGCGCTGCGTTGCCAGGTACTTCTCCTCCCGATGAAATTCAGCACTGTTTTAGTTCCCTTGGTAAACGTATCATGGCATTTTGAATCCGATGACTACTTCATGAGTTTCCATCGTGCCTGATATTTTTGCTATGTCGCTTATAAGACGCAGATTAGGTCATCAGAATGACTGTGCAACACCACACTCAATCGTTCAAACGGGTAGCGTTTTTAATATTGTCGTATCTACCCTTCTGTGTTGAGCTTGTGTCATAATCTGAATGGGTGGGAGAGAGGTCACCAATTCCCACCGTCAGTAATGTGTGTTTTACTGTTTGAGTATTGCTCCTTTCGACTACTTAAACATATCACCCATACCGCATCCGGTCAGTTGAATCGGCTATGATATCTAATCTGGTGCGAATTCGAATCTGTTGAACCTAAATACTTGATCTGTTGTTCTGTGGCGCCCTGTCCGACCTTTCGTGTTTATGTTCTTCACAACAGCTTCAATTAAGTAAGCTTCTATCCAACTCAGACTGCCGTCCTGAATCAACTAGACGCTGGTGATCAGCCGAGGTACATGTGCCCGAGGTTTGACGTCTAAGCGAAGCGAAAATGATAATAGTTCTGAAACAGTAGTGTTCCTATCAGATTAACTGAAATGCTATCTGAAACAACCTGTCACCTCGGTTGAAATTAAATTCTGGTCACCTTGGAATCATTCCGTTTGGAAAAATGAACTTCAAATACAACCTTTGCTGAGTCTTCGTCGTCTTCTTCGTCCGACGATTCGGTGATTCAGGCATCGTCGATTGTACACTCAGTTCGAAGTAAATTATTGTGACTACTATCTGATGTTCGATCTTCGCTAACACCAATCGCGTGATAGCTTGGTCAATCGTTTGTATGGTTTTGTTGTAAAAGATTCTGAAGTCGAAAACTCAATATCATAAAGTGCTTAGTTGGAACCCAAAGGAAAACTTGAACAATAATGGCGTCGAGTACAGTGGAATAACAGATTTTGGCTAAACGAATCATCTGTCAAAGTATCAGTCCGCTGATCCAATCGTTTTCGTGCACCACGCGAAGAGAACCTACGACATTAAGCTTTAACTCTTGAAGTTTATTTTGGCTCAGAAAATGAGCCGCAGGAAGTGGCGTCCTCCAAATTGGAAATTGCGTGAAACGGATGTGGTTGTCTAGGCTGCAAAACTGACATGTTCCACACCAACACTCCATTCGTCACTTCGCTTCCTTTCATGTTTGTCTCTCCCTAGCTACCGAGGATGTTCCGGATGAATTTTTTGAACTCACCGAGGCTGACTTGCGAAACATTCTACAGGCCTACCGGAACGAATGGTACGTCGTAAGTCTATGCTGCGCTTGACTTTGCCTGTCTTGTCTAGTTTCATGGAAGCTAATGGTTCTCGCACACAGAAGTAACAAGTTTGGATCACTTTACCTACCTGATATCTGTGATGTTGGTGGCCAGGACATTCATTATCCAGACACGTACAATATTCACAAAATTGTGCAGAAAACAAGTCTAACCGAGGCGGAATATATGTGCTGCTAAGACAATTATCAGAGACAGCCATGCATCTAGTCGTTATAGTCGGGTTGTTTCTGTTCAGAAACTGTTGTGATGTGCCGGACCCTCGATTTATGATAGCACTCTAAAAGGTAGATTCCTTCCGAAGGGGGAATAAGTTCATCAAACTCAACTCGCTCTACTCCTCCCCCAGTGGGATCATCATGCCTGACATTCTTGAGGTTTGTGCTACGTTATACAGCTATCCTTCAAGGGATCTAGTGTTTGTCGTGTGAGTCCCGTGCGTATTTGACCAGAGTCCATGTGGCTCTCATTCCTTGTTACTTGAAACTCTATGAAGTATGAAGGTGCCCTACCTTAATCTTGCTACTACTCTGCTGGACTGCCTGATGTGGCATTTTTGTTCCGGGTTTTGCCTTGCATGTAGTTAGGGCTGTAATTTACCGTCCACAGGTGATTGATTCTCTTTCCACTACCCAGATGCTTAACGCGTACAACAGAGATCCGCTCGGCCACTTGTCAAGAGGCCAACAAACATATGTTTACTTTTGTCGGTCGTGTCCATCGAGTTTTTAACGAGCTTTACTCAGCATATTGCATTGTGCAGAATCGCGTGAGATCATGCCGTCGTGTCCCCTTATGTAGGTTTGCTTCGCAGGTCGGTTGTGAGAGAGATCTGATTGCCTGAGTTCCTATGTCAATATACAGTCCTGTGACTAGGTTTTTGGTCCTTTGGTCCCCAACAAAGCGGTCTGTTTGTCTTCTGCCATTGTTGCGGCAATCCTAGGAGTATGAATTCTGTTATCCTTGGCACACTCGTCCAAATCTACATTGTGAGCAAAGTCTAGAATCACTGGTTTGTCTCAACCGCACTATATGCAAATTACATATGAACACAAAAACAAGAGTATTCTGACTGGTGAGCAAACATCACGCAACCAAAAACCGAATGGCTTGATCGATACGACGCGTAAATTGATGGCGCTAGTTAGTACCAGATCATTCGATGCTCACTTTTCGTTAACCGTCTGGGTAAAAATTGGGGTTAGGGTTATGTTGCTGTTTCAGTTATTTGGGTAGCTCCGTCGGTTTCCAAACAACCGGCAAAGCGACTTGTGATCGAACTATATTAGGTCCCCTCATCCTACCTTGTGTGTTCCAACTGTACCTTAGGATCCGGTTGACAACCAGCCTTAGACCTTGCTGTTCAGGGTGTCTGGGTGTCTTCTGGCCACCATAGTCTAGTTTGCTATTTCTGTCGCGTGTATGTGTGAGCATTCTACTTGGTTTCGTTAATTTGCATCTGATTTGATCACTGTTGTCATTTCAGGGCATCCAACCAACCACTGCAAACCGCAGCCATGCGGAAGTCTGCTCGGGAACAGCTTTATCGCAAATATCCACGCGCAATTATTCAGTTCCACTGGTCCGACGGAGTTGTGCTACAAGCTTGCTTCCATCCTCGGGAACATGGTGTGTGTTCGTGTGTATCTCTCCATTTGCCGCGCATTATTGCAACCTAGCTACATCTAGCAACCTCCGACTCAATCATGTGAGGTAGCCGTTTTGCTTGCAATCTAGTGATTGTAACTAGTTTGTTCAGTGGTTCTTGGTGGATTATGGGCTGCGCTCGGTTCTCGAGTTTCCTCATCGGATTTTGTCAGAAGGGCCACAAACAGAGTTCATTTTACACTCTTTTTGCGTTTAGGCTATTTTATTAAGGGTGTTATTTGTTTTCCTGTTCTTCAAGTGAACGGCTTTCCTGTTTTTACTTTATCCTACTCGACGGCAGTGGATAGATTAAGCAGGTGATTTCTTTCCAATCATGCTGTAATGAAGCTTGTAACCTGGTTGGGACGACGGATGTGTTAGCCTAGATATTGCTACTACGGCTGCAAGGAATCCGGTATTAATGGGTCGAACTCTGTCGCAGTTACTCTTCATGAATTTGACACTTGGGTCAATGATGACATCTGTCACTGAGTGTCGATCTCACTAACTGATCGCCGCGGCACTTTTTTGAAATTGTCATTTACTACCTACATTGTTCTCAGAATTCCGTCCACTAGAAACACAATCATGCGTACGTCTTTCTATCGAATTTCCTGTATCACTATTTTCCTTGTAGTCTCAGAACTCTACCACTTCATACAAGAGAACATGCGGTATCCTCAAACGGAACTACAGTTGTGTGAGTTACTTCTCCCAAAGGCTTATAAAAGTGTTGAATGATTATATTTCTGTTCACTGTTGGTGATGTTGACTTTGTGCCCTTTGGCTGTTGGATGACAGTGTGCACGCAGGAATTACGAAAAGTATTCTCATAGAGTCCCCATGAACAACCGACTACCTATAGAATTAGGGGGCAAACACAAGCATTGTTATTCGAAACGTGGTTTCTGTACTTCCAGATCTTTCGCCTTCCTTGAATTGAATAATGAGTAGCTATGTCTTTAAGGTTCATTCCTCTGGATGATAATTTTCATCATGTTGGGGATATAAGCAATTCGGAAGGGTCTGAAAGATATCCTTCCTTCTGCTCCTCATCATCATAACCATCATCATGATCAGCATCATCGTCATCACCATCATCATCGACAACATGACATCCGTGTTCTACACCGATGCTTCACTGCCGTACAACCATGATTTAATTGAAAGCCTTACTGTGAAGGAAAGAATAAAGGTGAACGTGGAAAGGGACTTAGTGCTAGCTTACTACAATCATTCCGAGGTGCCTACACCTCCAAATACTCATTCAGGCAATCTGGATAGAAACTGACATCGGTTGGCAACGAATGTGTACACTATTATGCCGCATCCCCCAATGTCTGTCCCACAAGGGGGGATCCAGCTGAAATCCCCAACGCTCAAATTCACTGTCACCATGGTTACCACCGCCACCAGCGGTAGCATTTTCACCAACGTACTCTTCACCGTAACTATCACATTACCCCTCATCATCGCCGTTATCGTCGATTTCATGTTCATCACCGAGTTGTCTCCGGTTCCGTGTTTTAAGAACCCTTACGGCGAAGAAAGGAAAAAATATGGAGAGAAAGAGATCCACTACAAATCTGTCGCAAGGAACTATTTGGTGCCAACACGTTTGAAGCCTTTACTCTGACAATCTCGATAGAAACTGATATTATCGGTTAAATTGCATTGGTGGTGTATCTGTAGTTATGTCGCTTGCTCTCGTGTAATCCAGTATATGCTGAGTTCCCCCGTTCTGATGAATGTCGGTGCGGATTCCTGCATTGTTTGTTGGTACCATTAATTCTGATCGTTAAGTCAGTGGACAAACATGTCCTCCTTCGCACAACTGTTTAGCTCCAATTCCCCACTCAGATCAAGCGGTTTTGACGAAAACGTTCGTAGATTGTTACCTCAGTTAATTAAAAGCTAGCTAGCCCGTGGGACTTCTAAGCTAATCATATACTGGTCCAGTTTCCCCTTTATTGATTTCTCCGCGTATATGCTCACCATCCTTTTCTTCGACCGTTGTTAGACACCACTCCTCCGAAAACTTTCCTCAAGAACAAGGACGAAACTCTTATTGAGGTGAGCTCCCCGCATTTGCTCACTCTCAGTGGAAAAAGGATACTTTTATTACACTGTTTCAAATGTCTTGAAAACCGATGTCTCGCAGTACGACCACTTACAAGCATTTACCAAGTACACACTATTTGTCTGCAGTGGGTAAACTTTAGCTACAGCGCTTAGTACTAAGTCAAACTTCTTTGGGTGAGCTCTTAGGAGAGTTCCTGTTCCTTTGTTAGTACTTCAGGCCTTGTCGCTCGAGAAGTTCAATAGCTGAAACAGGTTCGCTCTCGTTGAGGCTGATGTAATCACGGTTGGTTGCGAGAGTCTCGGCGCACGTGGGTTGTTTGTGAGAGTACAGCGCACAGTGTGTTGTGCAGCCACTGGTGAAGTCATCATGGTAGCCTTCAGCTAGGACAGGTAACGCGATGGCCGAGTCTACGTACTGGCATTTCTGGGGGAGAGTGCGCTTCTTTCTCGTGGTCCTGTAAGCTTTATAGCGTGTTACACCGTACGAACAAACTATCTCCAGTGAGGAAAATGCTTGCTTTTCATTCGTTAAGATGTTACTTTTGTTCCTTGTGTGATTCCTCCGTATAGCGTCCACAGGTGAAACATGGCAATCATGTAATACCTGAATGGCCTCAGAGGCGCCGGTGATTTAAGGTAATTAGATGATCTCAACTAACGCACTTACACAGTCAAAAACAACACACATACATTTACTTTGCACATTTACATTTGTGAGGGTACCGACACAAGACAGTGGTGAATGGGATTTCCTCATAAGGCCTCTTCGGACAGTGGGTCTTGTAGGAGCTCTTTCTGAACAGCTAAAACTGTTGTGGTCGAGTTATGTCTCCTGAGTGACCTATTTCGGAGTAGCTTACCAAATAAACGCCATATCTTCCATTCCTCTTCTCTAGGCGAATTTGGTACCTATGACCAAGGTCTATATATCGCCGCAGTCCCTCAAGGCTGAAGAAGGTTAGTTATTTTCTCTGTCTTTAATGTATCTACCTTCCTGGACCACTTGCAAGTGAACACGCATTGTTCTCAGTGGACTTGTCTGTATCCACGTGAAATGTGCTGAAAATCGCTGACTTGTTGGAACTAATGGTTATGATCAGCAATTGATAGTTCAGTTTATTCTTGTCTTTTAGGCTATACTGAGGCATTCGCTCCTTTCACATCGCCTTCCAAACAACGTTTCGTGTTACTCGAAAGGAAACATATACTGCGATATACCAACACTTTTTTGTCCTAGTTCGTTGTGAATTCCCACAGATCACCTAGTGACTTGGACTATTAGTGTGCTCGATCAGTCTATGTGGAGGATGTTTATGCTTTCATAAAGGAAACTACTCTTAAGATTGCTGATAGCTCTTTGACAGCCCACGACCGGTTTCGCTCTTCTTGGGGCTCATCAGGTAGGCACACTCCCCGAGTTTCCGTCAACCTAATGTTCTTCTTGAATTGCAAATGAGTGTATTTTTCGAAAGAAGTCCAATTTGGGTTCAAGTAGAACAAAAGGTTGACGGGAACTCGGGGACTGCGCCTACCTGATGAGCCCCAAAAAGGGCGAAACCGATCGTGGGCTGTCGACGAGTTTTCGGCAACCTTGTGAGTAGTTTCCTTCATGAAAATATACTGCGATATCTCGAGTATCGTACCAACTTAAACATGAGGCGGCCTGTGTGCGATACATTCAGTTGAAGAATATCATAAACGGGAGATTCAGGTGAATCTCTCGTTAAAACCAAATTGATTTGAAAATGAGTGTATTTCTCAGTGTTTATACGTGTTTAGTGTGACTTAGGTAATCACTTGAACGTTCCGCTGCGCCGTTATTTGCTCTATTTTTTACCGAACGTTTTATAAACAGGCGGGGTGACATCACTATATATGCCAGCTTGAATTGTTTCCGTTAATTAGTTCTGCTGGCTTGATGGCTGACCTATTTTTTGGATAGTTGGTGTCTGGGTGAATTGATCTAACAGTGACAATTCTTGAATCCTGTCGGTAGACAAACCGAAAACCGTCACTTTAGGGTATCAATGCTAAACCAAGGGGAAGGCGATAGAGTTTTGCAAAGAGAATCCACATAGCCTGAATGTTGTTCGTTCTCCTGAACTACAAATCTCCGTTTATCGTTAGAATGATAGACGATGACAATGTGACCTTCAGTAGTTTTAATCTATGCATTGGCAAGTTAGATCCCATACTTCCTGGTACGTTCCTGTATGTGTTCCACGAGATGTCGTCCAAGCGTGCTTCTGTCCCTCAGTTGGCCCAACCTTATTTTGATCTAGATCGTCGACGTAGAGTAAAATTAGATAGATCATCCTCTCCATTAATTTTACAGAGAAAAATTTCTACATCTTGGCGAGTGATGCCCAAATTGGATGGGTCGTTTTCGTCGCACTATTGCTCGCACTGAAGCGTTTCAAATTAGCGAATGGATTCTAGTTGCTTTAGCACACATCCGCGGCTAATTGGGAAATAGGTATATTTGACTTAACACATAACCCATGAGGTTGCTAAAACCTCTGATCCTGATCGTTTTCGCCCTTCTTGGGGCTCATCTGGCAAACACGCAGCCCCCAAGCTTCTGCTGGAACCCAGATTGCATGAAAATTCGACAAACACACTCACTTTCATACCAATGTTTTGTTTTTGTGGCGCGTTTGGGGTCCTTAACATGACACCACTCAGCTGATCGAAAGTGCACATGTGTACTAATCAATGTTATGTGTTCATCACTTGCTTGTGTTGTTTTTTTGGCCCTCCGTCGACCCTGGTTTGCTCATTCGCCTAAGTTACTTTTGTTGCCATGACAGATTTTTAACTCAAATACAGTAAGCCTCGACCGCATTTAACTATCTCTCGTCACATACTAATTGGGTTCGAACATACAGTTCGGTAAGCAAGTAACATTTTTTGGGAGCTGTTGACGTATAAATAAAAAACTGCACTTCTTACCAGCACATCAGTTCTGAAGCCATTTGTTACTGGGTGCGTCCACAAACAAAGCTACCTGTCCAGAAGCGTCACAGGAAACATTACAATTAAGACTACCGGTATCTGGTGGAACGCGAAACGGAAGACCCGTTAAGGGATGGCGAGTCTATCTTGTCGATCTGAAACAACAGTTCTCTTTTCTGCACATGTCCTACTTTACTAATCTGTTCCGCCAGCGACCCCTCCTATTGAACGGCTGGTTTTTCCTAATCAAGTCAACTAAGATATACATCTGGTGCCAATTTAAGAGTGAGTGAGCTTGCTCTGTACAAACTGGTGTGAGTCCCGACGGTCCAGCAGATCAACTAATAAACGAATACTCGCTCAGCTTTGACACTCTTTTGGTCCCTAACTGGCATGCCATCCGGAGAAAGCACGAAGGTTGGGATCCTGCCAGTTTTCCCAAGCCTAGACAGAGGCTGTCGAAATGCTGGAGTTTGTTTCAAATCACAAACTTTCCGACCAGTAAGTTCGCGCCTTATTCACTGAGCCATCTCGCCCCCGAACTACGCAGCAACGAATCTCGGTGCGGCGGTTGCCTTCCTTTTTGATCATTCCAGCTGGTTGTTTGACCTCTGCTTACCTTCGTCCTTCCACCGTAATCACTGAAGGAGTGGAAACTAAATTGCGTCAACACTGTTCCAACAGGGTAGCATGAATTGGGGCAGACATCGAGATGTTTAAGCAGGTAATGACAAGATATTGAGTGAATAAGAGCAAAATTGTTTGCGGAGACTCTTTTTACGTGTGATGTTTATGCACGCTACCAAGTTACCAGGCTAGTGGGGAATTCGCAATATTAAGTCTACTGAGTTCAGGTAAGATCATTAATACCTGTTTAGGTCTGCAGCAGTGACAGAAAAAGACCCATCAAAATGAGCGATGAGCAATTTCACAGTTGTGGGACAGGATTACTAGGTATAATACGTGAGTTGTCTAAACCATTGACCGCTGTTTGCTCAAGACACGGGACCCACTTTCCAAGGTTAAGCCGCATCGACGCAGTTTCTAGTTGGCTGCCCCAAAACTCTGTCGGTTTGAATACCCATTCGCAAGTTAGTGTGGTGTTGCGTGAGATCTAATTTGTCTCTCGTCCTTGGTATGCTCTGTTGAACTGTTGACCTTAATAAGAGATGGCTCAAGTGGTTGGAGCGCGAATTTACTGACCGGAAGGTCCGTGGTTCGAACCCAACATCTGCCTCTAGACTTCCCCTGTCTAGGCTTGAGCAACCTGGCAGTATCCCAACCTTCGGGTGGCATGGTAGCTAGGAACTGAAAGTGTTACAGCTGAACGATTGAAAGAAATGTTCATCTTTTTTTGCATACGTTATGGTACATCCTCTTTCTTACTTGTGTCTCAATCACGACAAGGTCGACCAGTATTCGACCAGGCAATATGGCGACCTGGATATCTGATATTGTGGTGCACTTTTCTAGCCGTTTTCCCTAGCACTCCATTTAATTCGAAATTTTTCCCATAATGATATTCATCCCCCGACTGGCCGTTATTTTTACCGTCCTCAACGATAATCAAGATATGAATTAATTTTGTCGCATGGTATGCTTTCTAGAAATCGATGGTCGTCCGATACTTATTTCTTTGTTTGTTCGCTCTCGTTTGAAGCTCTTCAGCCTGAATTGATCTCCGACGCTACAACAGCTAACATGCTACGTGCCCGAGAAGTGGTTACCAATTGGTGAGCATTTGTTTATTGTCTGTATTGTATAAGCTCGACCCACTTTTCTTTATCAAGCTGTGCCACCTCCACTCGTTGCATGTACCTTGACGATTCCTAAATTTAAACTCTGCTGCAGGATGCAACCTCTGACGTCACAGTCCGCCACACAGTCACAAACTGGTAGTACGACATCCACTCGCGCGCCCGTCACCAGCAATGCCAACTCCGAGACCTGTTCACTTCAACCGAAGTGGCTCAAACTTGGTAAGTTATTCTCGCTAAACTCAATCTGTCGTTGTCTCGGTCAGATTGGAAATGCTTATCTTCTTATCGTGATTGATGTATGCAGCAAGACCTTGTTACAGAGGCCGGTGAAGGCACCAGTCGAGCGCATCAATTCCACAAAGAGATGTTCAAGTAGCCTACAGTATATCACAGTGTCTTCTCAGCTTCCATTCTAATGGAGTGGGCGGATTTCGGCCTCGTGTGTCGCTACGCCATATATTATGGGTGTCTAAGTTTAAGCTCAAAAACCTGTCTTGGGACGAAGACGGACAGTCGCCTCAGCTCTTTTGACATATCTCAGCCTAGATCGACCCAGTGAATCTAAACTAATTGTTCTCACCGTGACCAAGGCTCATCGAAGTATCTCAGGTGGCAGCTGGAACTTCCCGAAATAGATGTTTTGCTGTTACCGCCAGCAGTCACGTTTCCGGTTGTTTTGCCACATAAACACTTGATTAACGTACTGCTAGTTTATTCAGGGAAGCCAATCTCCTCAAGGATTGACTTATGTGTATGTGTTTTCACTTTCGTCGTAGGGATGCAAAGGTTTTGTATTCTGTCAGATAAAAAAGTCGAGATGCAGAGGTATTATGTCAGAGCATTCATCGGCGATTGCTTTAGGTGATATGACTCATGTGGCATTTTCACGACACTAGTTCTGATGTTGTATTCTTCACACTTTCCCCATTTGTTGCTTTAGGAAAGTAAGAACCCAATCTGGATGCTGTATTGTGGATTCATGATATTTTCCCACCGTTTCGCTGAAATAAATACGGTTTCTCTACATAACTTGTGTATTTTCTGAAATTTCCGATCTCTCATCACCACTGCTGGTCCACGTTCGAACAACAGTAATTCAAAATAATTGTGGTTCGATATTGGGGAGAATGTTGGTCGCTCAAGTAGCGTAGATGGCCATGGGTTTATTCTTTCAGCTGGGCAGTTTGATTGCAGTCGAGTTGGTTGTGCATAACCGCCGACCGAACTACGCCCCCTAACAACGCACTGATGTTGTCACCTCGATTGGTGATGAAATGCTTGCAATCGGAATGTGGTTTTCAGTTGGGGAGGGGAAGGTAGTTTTATTCTGATTTGAGATGCCTAAATGCACTGATTTTCTAAATTTTGATGCAATCAAACGCAGAGTAGATCTACACCGGAAGTCCATTTGATGAAACACGTCTCCGGGTCAACGTGAATGGTGTTCCAGTTGAGCTCGAGACAGCTCAGTGGTTAGATCGTGGACCTACTAACCGCAAGGTCTGTGGTTCGAACCCAACCTCTGTATCTCGACTGCCCCTGTCTAGACATGGGTGACCGGGAAGTATATCAACTCTCATGCTCCTTTCGGGTGGCATGGCAGCTAGACATCGAGAAGGTGCTGCGGCTGAATGGTTCATTCCAGTTATATAGAACAGCTCTTGTTACAGCTAAATAATTCGTGATCTCGTCGTAAAACGCTACACGCGTTCGAACGAACAAAGTGATCAAATGCACTGACTTCTCTCAGACAGTATGGGAGGTTTGAAGCATATCACCAGGATTCCATTTCCGGTAGACTGAGGTTGACGATGTTTGATCGACAGATAAATATCATACCGAAAATTAAGAATATTACTTTGATCGACTGGTGCAAAGGCATCAAATTGCGAGCTCGTTATGGAAGGGGTTTTGGAGAGGCTTTATGGCCGCGTTGCCTCAGAACTTTTGTTAATAACCCTGCAATACTACTATTGATTCCGTGGACAGCCTCTTGACCGACGCTAGTGCATTTCAGTTTCAAGATAGCCATAAACTCAGTTTTGGGTCATCGGTATCGTTGTACTCCCGCTGTGATAGGCACTCTGCATAGTTTCATTCCGGTGGGGATCAAAACTACAAACCGACCAGTTCCATATCTTCACGAGATGAGAAATTTGGCAGCCCTGGATGATGTGTTGTCTTGTGTCAGCATCGCGGCCTCCTCTGTACTCATGGCAAGGGTTGAGTATTCTAATGTTCGCATATACTAGCCACAGTCAGTTTTACGTACTCGCGCATTTCATGACTAGAGGGTGCTTCAGCTTAAAGCCTAGTTGCGTCAAACTTAAGGGAGCCCTACGTACTGTTAGTCTCGAAATGAGGCGAGCATTTCGAGCTGCGGTGAAATAAAGACGTTCGGTGTTCCAGAAGGATCCTTCTCAATCGGCTGCATTTCTTCTCAAATAATTGAACAGAAGTTTGATGTGTTTACACAGCCTCATCTCAATGCTGTCTTCTATTTTTTAGCTGAGTCTCTTATGGTCTAAAGTCAGAGCCGCGTCGTCAATGGTGTTCATGTCGATCCACCGGCACCATTAGTTATTGCATTTTTACGCAGGAAATCAATGCAGTCCACCAGTACTGGTTCTGGGTGTAACCTAAGCTTACGAATTAAACAGCGACCAGCTATCAAGATATTGACGCGTAAATTTCTGATGCTCGACGTTGCAGCTCCGTCATCTACGGGTGTCTTCCATATTCCAGATCTAATTTTTCACAAACTCGCAAATCACATTTGTTTAGCGATGGTCGATGTGTCAAATTGGTGGCTTTGTTTAGCATATCAAACACCGTTTTCATCATCACACGTGTGACCAGAAAATAAAACAAGCGTTAGGAGTAACGACCACGTGGATAGATGTTATTGGCCTGTTCAATACTCACTGTGGATAGTTTGGACGAAATATGTTAATTTTAGGATTATATTGTTTGGTATGGTGTAACGTAGACAGGAACGCCTCTTCCTGCTCTGCGAACCATGTTGAACTCAATCGGGCAGTCGCTTCCGGAACACTACGCATTCGTGTTTTGATTTTCGGTGTTCAAATATCTTTGGCACCAATGGGCAAGCGCACCTCACTAAGACACTTACTTGACTTGTCCATGTCGAAGGCAGTATTACACATGCAGACCATCATCGACAGTCTGACGATGTCTGCTTAGACTGGACATTATGAGCGACCAGAAAGTTCTGTCGAATGTGTCGTTGGAGCTCTTCTCGAGGGATCCAAAGCGGTCTCCCCTGGTTGCTGGGGTGACCCACAACGAATATATGACCTCGTGAGCCTGGGAAAGCCACGAAACTACCTAGGAAAGTGGAAGTGCGAGAAGCGTCTGAGACCTTTCCGTATCTTTTTTCGTCCTTAGTGTCATTAATGCATATTCAGTCTAAAATCCAACTTCCAACCTTATCGGTACGCTGTTCGTTCACGGTCGCTTGTTTGCGTCGGCTTGGCATTCAGCGGTCCCAGGAGAATTGGTTCCTAAACAATTACCATCCTTTCCAGTACTGCCGATTTCATTTTTTGGTGTGTGCCCCTCCAAGCTAGTGTCAGAAGTGACAGATAGTATCCGATGGACGCTTGAACATTTCAGCAGCGCGTGTCACTGGTACGGAGATAGGAACAAGCAGCAGTTCCTATTAGCATTCATAATGCGGTAGACTGCATCGTATGTGCCGCCAGAAATTTGTGTACTTTTCTAATGGACTCCAAGGTTAAGTGCTGTCAGTTTGCCCGTGGCTCATTGGATTGGCACTCGTTCCAACGAATAAACCAAGTGAAGTGTATTCACAAGCCAGAAGTGAACAGAGTGTGATAACAGCCTCCCTCAGCCCTCATTATCTTCAGTTTGTCGACAAGTTTGAGCACTGCAACATTTTGGGTTTTTAAAAAGCTATAGCCCAACACAAATAGTAATTATCCGGGACTGTATCTCCATTACTCTTAGTTTGATGAGTTTTTTTTTACCTTTGAATAAAATCCCACACGAAGTAACCGTGGGGAATTCCCTCCCCCCGTTTTCAGAAGGGAGCATTTTTGGCCAACGGTCGTCTAATCAGCATTGTTCCAAAGTTAACGTGTTCCCTTGTTTATCCATGAGATCTGCGTTTTTTGGTTAAACGGTGTAAAGCGGTTGAATTGCATCCCTCACCCTGCTGCTTAAGTGTAGTTCCTATTCGTAGAATATGTTGATGCTCAGATTGTAACGGCATTGCAACGTGACTGAATTCACGTTCCGTTCAAGGTTCAGGTCAAGCCCAGAGTGACTGCACTGGGACAACTTACCCATACTGTTGTAGATCGTAGTCATTAAGTTATCGGATTCAAAATGCATTTCCAGCCAATCACTTTTTCTAATGTCATTCTTCCGCTTCTGATTGATTAACTGTCGCGATTGAATGTTCAGCTGAGGCGCCATATAAAGATTCATTGGTTCATGAAGTCTAAGTAATTCCGAGGTGCGTTATTTTCAAGACCTCCCGAATTGTAAATCCACGAAAAGCAAGTGGTACTGTAGATGTCCTAAAGTCCAGGTTCTCGTCGGTGAAAATTGTGAACTTATGTAAACCTGACAGTTGTCACCTTCTGACCTATCGTGTGGTTCGTCCCGAAACCAGTAGTGCTGGACAAAAAACAGACAGGCTCGTTTCAGAAGGGCTTGCTAAAAGTCGGTATTTTTTAACTGGAGCCAAACTTAGCGAAATACACTCATTTGCAAACAAATTTGGTTTTGCGAGACTCGCCTGCAACCCAGCTGAATTCCTTGCTTGTGATGTGTCCAGGCAACTGAATGTGCCGTACCAGGCCGCCTCATATTCCAGTTGCTACGATATTCGAGATATCGCGATACAAACGAGAGATTCAGCTGGGTTCCAGGTGAGTCTCTAGAAAAATCCAGTCAGTTTGCAAATGAGTGTAGCGGAAATTCTTAGCGTTTCTAACATTATCTAATTGTGCTACGACCTTTTATGGATGGGGTTTGGTTTAGTTTTTCGGTACCAAGGAAATTTCTTTCAACAAATGATAACTCCTACAGAAGATTCTGAGGCTTGACAAAATGGTAAAGCAACAGACGAATACCAATTATTTCTCCGAAGAATTTTCAGCAACCTTATGAGTAGTCATTAAGTCTATACATGGACCCAACCGATTGAGAATATGCTCGCATTGATTTCCCTGTTCTAAACCACACTGAATAATTCGGACTGAAGCCACTCCGGGAAACAGTACCACATGATCGATTAAGGCCACCACTTCCGTAGCAATTATGGCGAGATTGTGTCTGACTCATCGTAACAGCCAACATAGGTCAAGTGGTGGCAGTTGCGAAGTTGGTGTGAGCTAGGTGCGATTAAGTGAGTAGATTTGTGCGACTAGGCAAATGAGTGTGTGCTCAGCTAATCTCCACACCGTATCGGGTGTTAGGAGGGAACAACACACCGACAAAGCGTAACTTAGCTAGTTGTTTCCTAGTACAGGCCGACCTTAAACTGACGAGATTAGCTGTCGTTGAACTCCTGGCGAGTAAAACAAGCGAAGGAAAAGGCCACCTTTGGTAACAATTTGTTTCAAGACGCTGAAGTCCTGTACGCAGCAAGGATTTGTATTCAATAGACCAATGGAATGCGGCATCTTTTAAAGACTGACTTGATTAGCCTTGTTATGGTCTCAACGTACTGAAAAGCCTAACTCTGATATTCAGATAAGGTGATAGAACGTATAATTTAACGATACAACACTTGCCGCTAAATCCCAGCGAAGAGATTGTCTCTTCTAAAAAAGCTGCACTTGTGATCGGGCGGTAATTGCAGCGTGGCCAGTCAAGCGCCTTCGTCTAATCAGTGAACTAATCAACCCTTGGGAAGGGAATGCCTGTGGGCCTGGATATATCCGAGGCCTCTGTGGCACACAGCATAGCGAACGGTCGTACGATAAATTGGATAGAACATAAATTAGTTTAGGAACGGCTTTTTATTGTCTCTGTACTTACGGCAGTAATAACCTTGAAGTATCTCAACGATTGGGGCTCCAAGCGGCTTACCGCGAGGTCCTTCGTTCGAACCCAATCCTTGAAGCGTGCACTCCAATGACAAAATTGGAGGAAAAACCTGACGAACTCCACCAGCTGTGGTGAAGCATCTGCATAACCTGACCGTTTGTACGGGAATAACGGATACTAATGTTAGCAAATCCAATGGGATACTTCTCTCACCAATTGTATTCAGGAGAGCCCATTTACTCACGGATTAGAAGGCCGCTTTCGAGTGGAGAAAAACCCTATTTGCCGATCGATGGTCTACTACTTGTAATGTACGGATGTGGTTCGTGCACCTCATACCAGATCGAAATCCTGTTTGCTGCCCTCGGACATTTCCTACACGCCGAAGTTAAGCGTTGAAATATTGGGGAAGTTGGTCGCTGCTTCACAGCACATGTGGGGCTTACAACCACAGCCTTAAATCAGTTTGGGGATTTGTTTGACTGCAGAGAAGACAGCTGATTGGTCTAACTTCCATGTAGCGTGCCCGAACTAAGTGCGAACAATCTGGTGAAGGCAGAACATGTTTCGCCTTCATTAGATCATACAGGCAGAAACCTTTTTGGCCCAGTAATAATGTGGAACTACTCGTCCATGGATCGTGACGCTGGTTTCGAATATTCTCTTATTAACTCTGACGTCCCATTTGATGAGTTAACCAAAAACGGCCCCTGTACGTCCTCAACCGCGACAGTTTTTTGTAATTCTTCAACTTTATGGTTTCACCACGTCCCTGTTCACACATCCAGTCGATCACTTAACTGGATCAAACTCTGAGCTTGGAGGGATACAGCGCCTCGTACCTAGTGATAATGACTCAGTGATTTCCGTGTACGCGTTGGAAAACATCATGGATAGTTTCTGCCCTTGTATATACTTAGGTTATCTCATCGCAAATGTGCTCAATGTCCTCCGAACAGACGGCTTATACGGTATTGCACTGCAAGCTGTTTCCACAGTTTGTGGGTCACAAGGTTTTACAGCCCCTAAATGGGGGCTCGTACCCCGGGCTTACAGGGAAAATTTAGTTAAAATCTGCACCGAACGAGAGTGTGATCTCAACTGACCAGAACCATTAACCCCAGGGCCTTGTGGTTGACTGTCCGAGCCGAGAACGATGATTCCTCATATCCGAATGGCAGGCGCCCCCTGCTAAACGTGCATTGGTTGGTGTTCGAAACTTCCACAGTAGCATAAGGCAGGTGTACTTCCGGTCACCAGGGTTGAGTTGAAAACCAACTAGTTCTAATCAACTAATTCTAATCGGCAAAAACGCATCTCACGTCGGTTTGGTGGACGACCGGTGACGATAACAAACCCTGGTATAACGACTAGACAACGCCTACCTACAATAATTAAACAGTTATGAAACAGGGAGGTAGTTGTGACCGTGTGTGTGGATCATTCTTCTGCAACATGTGGCTTCGCTCAGTCACACCAAGTAAGAGTGCGTGATTTATTTGTCACACATTATTGGAATACCAGTGGCTGGTCATCTGACTTATGACCTTTGATTGAGTGGGACGTTTTGACACGCTAACGGTATCGCGGAATAGTTAAATTGAATCACGTGGCTCCCTTTATTCAACCAAAATTGGATGACCAGTCAGCCTGGACCCCAACGCACCGACCATTCATAGAGAGGCGAATTTCCATAGGTGTCGTTCCTGTTGAAAACCAGATTGTTATTACAAATGCAGCTTCACCGAGATGACTAGGCTATCATAAAAAGATATGGTTCTGACAGGAAAGAGTAGCAGCAAAAAAGAAAGACAGACTAATCCATTCCAGGTAAATCACAAGATCCATCTGCCCAGCCGTACCGCCAACGCTCAAGCACGCGGGAACAGTCGAACAGAGGCTTGTGACATTTTTTGTTCACCAAGTTATGTTGCAGGCACAGCCAACCGCTCAGCTCTTGACGACTCCCCAGTTCCGGTGGATTGAGAACCAAATCTGTGGTGTAGAAATAAAATGAAGGAAAGATAGAACTGCAACAACTCCCCTATGGAAATCGTTGAGAACCTGCACTGTCAATTGTTTGCAGGTTGGACCTGACACAAGAGAGTAACCATCGCAAACACATCAACAACACGGGGGCCGCCATCGCATAACGACAGGTTAGAAAGGGCCAAGGTGCAAACTTTCAACTTCACCGACATTTGACTCGAATCGCGTATGTCATCATAATCACCACCGACAGCAACACACCAGTAATACACGCTGGTGCTTAACTGCCATAAATAACGTAAACCCCCCTAAAGAGGCCATGTGCATTCCACATGTAGTGAGGATAGCCAAACAATCAAGAAGGAAGGTGACCAAAATAACCACGTGCTTTTCGACATAACCAAGCCGGTCTGACTACGATGCTGTTGGTAGCAACCAGTTTTTGGGCAGCTTGTCAAGTTAAATATCGCCGATTTATTTGGTATTTATACTGTGCTCACTAGAATGGCCACCATCATCATTCAGAGCACAATATCGGTGTTTATCACTGATGCTTCCCTGCCAAACAGCCCTATTTTGAAGAAGAGAATAAAAGTGGATGGCGAAGAGGCTCTGTGCTAGCTTATCAAAGTCATTCCCAGGTGCTTACACGTTCACTATCTAACTCAAGCAATCTGAACAGGAAGTGAAAACAACCTTATTCAGAAACCATATGACGAGGCGTCTCCAACCATGAACAGTGGGGATTACGCAGACCTCCTCCTGGAAGACGAGTTGCACTTACAGCAGTCAAACTTTCCGTAATTTCTTTCATATCCCTCTGTCTGATCCCATCAGTGCTTCTCGTAGTTGACCTGGATTCATCACAGGAATCGTGACGCGAAAAGTGGAAATGACTGTACATCCGGACATAAAACCCAAGATATGAATCCGGTAGGTGGATGAAACCTTTGTCATTATTGAAAGGAGTGAACTATCACGAACAAGACAGGTAACTAACAGCGTTTTTGAGGATATACAATTCACATTGGAAGAAGAAACCGATGGAAAGCTGGCATTCTTAGACGTTCTCATCACGAGATTGCCACACGGACAGTTGCTGACGAGAGTCTACAGCAAGGCAATGCATCAGCTACCACATCAATCATCCGAACTGTCACAAACAAGGCCGCATCTGGACCCGACGCACTGCACTACGGAGTTAAAAGTCACAGAAGAGAAACGTTTGCACAAAGATTTTCAGATAAATGGATACCCCAGAAAGTTCATCTGGCGGACTCTAGAAAAACTCAACAGTACAAGAAGGCAAACAGACTACACTGCCATAGATCGGGAACATTTCGGAAATGGCTGCACGATTGCTCCGACAGTATAACACAACCGTGGCCTCAAACCTGTAAGCAGCTTACAGAGAACAACGTCAAACCCAAAGGAATGATTAAACACAATGATGAAGACCGCTGCCGTGTACAAGATTCTGTGAGGCGATTTCGACAAATGCAACGTGGGACAGACATGAGCATAAGCTCTACATGAGCATAAGCTTGTAGCCAAAAGATGCATTCAATTTTCACTCGCCTCCGTGCTCGAAGACCAAGGTGGACACCAATCCGAATACAGTATCGGCCCAGTAAAAAGACAGAAAAAACTGGCGGATAAGTTGTCAACAAACACATTGAAGTCGACCCAGTCTATCGACCACTGGAGGCAAGAAAACTACCAAACGCAAAGATACACAACAAAGCGGAGGAGGCACGTATGGCAGAAGCAGACAAGCAAAGGAATATAGGGTATTAATCTCCCTTTCCGAAGTTGCATTGAACTAACGATAAAGAACGACTCGATAAAGTGAGGCATAAAATTGGCCGGTCGAGGGCAACCAAATCGGCTGACATAAAAAGTGAAATAACCACATCAAATGGGGAATTGCAACCGGACAATCATACTCAAGAAGATGCGACTACGACACAAACTAAAACGGACCGATCGGATCGAAAGAACGAAACCGTTATGGAGACCGAGCAAACTCAAGGAACGAAGGCCACAACGCAACGCAAACCACAAACGGGGAACGGACCAGTCGTATAGCAGACCTAATCCTCCCAAAGGAGCTATGCAACAAACCAATGGACTTTACGGACAACAACGCAGAGTAAATCGGGCCGACAAGACTACAAGAAGGGTATATTCCAGTTGGCCAATCAAATAAGATGGTACTAGATGCTCTCCGAAAACTTGGTAAATGCAGACAGGTAAGAACGAATTACCCACTCAAGTGCGCACTGACGATGTCTCCTCGATTGGGGATAGAACGTTTGCAAGCTAATTGCCAAGCTCGGAGGACAACAATCCCTCGATATGTTGAGATCATTCGACCGTGGCTTACTTCACGATTCAAATCGATGACAGCTTACACGACAGTGTTGTCCACCACAAAGAGGGAGGCGGGGTGTACCTAACGCATGGTGTAAGTTTGAGCGAAATGCGGTCCAGTAGAAAATGAAGTGAACGTAGGCGAACTTACTTTTCCTGAAATCGACAGCACACGGAAGACAGGGGTAGAAAGTAGAGAGGCCTTTGATGAATCCCGCCATTTCCTTTTGTTGCTGAACTGTGGGTTTTTCCGGATAGTAGGCAGCCATTGTGTGAAGAAGACTCCAAGTAGCTCGACCAAGCGATAGTTTGTCCAGTGGACAGCCTGAAAAACAGAGTGTACTCAACGGCAAATATCACACGTTTTCAACGGCGCGTTGCAACTGGAAGGGCGGGCGCCCACCCACACCATAATGACGATAGCGTCTTGTTTTGTGATTAAACGTTTGTAACCAAAGTCCCCAGGTCCGAGAACAAACCACTATTTACAACAGTTTACAGCAAAGCATATTTTGCTCAAGTATGCTAACAACAGTGCTTGTTCGCGTCTGTGTACAATGAACGCGGGCGGAAACTTGACTGATCGGAATCTGAAGGGAGTTTTCCACTCCTACAGTCGAACAAAGATCGACTGCTTGACAGTTTGAAAGCCTCTGTCCTAGCAAAACACGTTCTCACAAATACCAATGTTCCAAAGCTCAGTAGTGGTCCACCAAAAGAAAAGTTTAGGAAAAACTTGTAGATAGTTTGCACACAGTTTGAACGGGTACTCTAAGTTATCAGACAACGCATTTTATACGCCCCTGTGAATGAACGGAAGCAGCAGTCGAGAGTGAAATTGCTTTCAAATGCTTGGTCAATTTGATCAAAACACTGAGTACATTATCCCACCCATTGAGTGAAGGTCATATTCCGCCGTTTTTGACTTACTCGGAAATATAGAAAATTATCAGAGACTCTAGTGAACATTCATTTTAAGAGAAAGGTGTCTATTTCAGTTCATGATAGCCCAGTTTGAGCACTGTTTTACCCATTCAGTGACCAGAAGTTCACCTATGATACACAGTTTGTTTGCTGATAATATCATATGTACTTTTAAAGATAACAAACCATTCATTAGGGATTTTCCTTCCGCCCTTCCAGTTTTTGGGATATGTGGAAACCTTATACTCAATTCAGATCAAAAGGTGTGATTACGACGAAGGGGCAATAATATTAAAATGAGGTAAATACTTCCTGTAATAAACTTCTTGTTGCTTTCTGAAAGCTTCTTCAGTGGTGCTACGGGATAACCTTAGATGATGAGTTCGGGGGTAATGGGTTGATATGAACAGGTTCTAAGCCGTACATCAACAGGCGTAAAATCGCAGCACATCGTTGCTGTAGGCACTCGAGACGGATTTGACAATCTACGCTGGTTGAACTATTGGGGACTTGCGCATAGCAGATAGATCACAAATCAGGTTAGTGACAAACTGTACCAAGATGGTTACGTTTCCGCCTTGGGCTCTATAAGCGAACGTGACCGGTTAGAGTAAGTAGTTACAGTCAGCACACTTGATAAGGCAGAATTCAGCGTTAATCATGGCGATGTTCCGTGTAGATGTTCGTACGGTGTCAGGCGCTGAGTTGTGCAGGTCTGTGGAAAGCCAACTCAACTAGATGAGAATCGCTTTCGGATTGTACATCTTCCCTGAATTTTTTGGTGAAGGATAACTTCGGCCCTCACAAGCCTAAGTTCACTTTTGGATTATGGTTTCTGTAACCAGAGCCGCCGGTTCGTAATGCACCGCAATCGATCAATCCAATCCGGGTTGTTGTACAATAACGCCGTTGGTTGATAAATGTGCGTGTAGTTTGATCGTGCTGTTCCCTTTTCGAAGTGACATGCAATGCTTAGGTTTGACCGGTGCACGAGTAAATAATTGAGCAATCAGATCTAACTGTTCTTCAACCTTGGACGCACTTCGACAATACCAGACAACACGAACTACTCGTTTCAAGCGTCACGTGGCACAGCGACGTGCATTTGTTACGCTTGCGTGCGCAGTGCAGCCATCCAGCTCGATCACACCGCACAGTTGACTCTGTCGGTACGCTAACTGGGGGGTAGTATGAGAAAAAAACGTGAAGGGAGCGTAGGGACACGTTTTAGTACGTGTTGTTTAGCTTGACACAGATGTGGTAGTTCTTCATGGAAAAAAGTAATAAAAAGTCTAAACGGTTATTGTTGTGAATAGATGCACCAACCTATGTGTGAACATCAGTGTCGAATGGCCCACACGCACTTCTTGATAACAGTGTAGATGACCGTCATCAGCATCATAATCATGAATGAAATTAAAGATATGCATCTGCTGAAGAGGTGCTTCCCACTGGGAGCTCACGTTTTGAACAGTAGGATGTCCGACCCTCGTGGAAGGACTCGAGGTACTTTTGCGCGAACCTCTTACAGGTGATACATATAATTCCCACGACCATGGATTGCTAGGAGAGGCCCGAAGAATCTGTGCCATCTGTTGAGTGACTTGTTCTGGTGTTGACAGAAATTTCAACCCCTAAGCGAGTTTTGCCGTAAGGGTAGGGTACAGTTGCAAAAATACGACAGTAGCATCAAGCTTCACCGTGAAAAACATACCAAGTTTCTCTCTCTTCTCAAACCACTTGGGGTCAGATTGCAGGGACGCGAATGCAGACACATCTACACAAGCTTGGCAGAAGGCTTTGCTCTTTGGGTTGAAGATATCGTCGTCGTCATCCGCAACGGAAAATCTTTCTGAATGACGGTTGGTCATTGAAAAATGGCTAAAACACAAAACAAAAGAAAGAGCCGTAGCATATCCATCGTTAGAATGGTCTCACCCGCTTCCCAAACGGTAGAGTACTTTTCAACTTTATTTCCATACCGTTTAGGATGAGTACGAACTCTAGCTCGGTTATGGAACAGGAGGATGAGCACACTGGAACTTCTTTAGGTAACAACACTTCGAGGTAGTTGTTACATGCGTTTTCAACTTTCAACGAGTCATACGTACGTACGTACTGTGCGTACCCATCTGCTTTCTATCTAGATCAGCTCCATACTCTCCTGTTACTGAAACTGGTCGAAGTCGATGAATGGAATCGCTCTGCTTTGTCATGCGTATTGCTGATGGAAAGTGAACTGATAACCAGGCCTTTACAATGGCATAATTAGATTCAAGTTGCGTGCCTCAAGTAACGAAGATCTTCAATTGAGGTTCTTCATCCGCAACAGATAGCCACGTGACCCCATTGGGTCCATGAGTGTCCTGCAGTTGGGTATCTCCAATTAACTCGATGTAAGCGTCTATACTGGAAGTCCGTACTGGCCAGGAACAGGCGGTGATCAGTACACAACTGAATCAGCAGTTTCCCATTATTTGTACGTTGGATATCGACGTCAAAGCCATCACCTAATTGTGCTTCTTCGGGACTTAGTCGTCCCAATTTGGCATTCATAACGCCTGCCATGGTGATTGTATCTATCCATCTTGAAACTGAGTGTCCGCGCAGACCGAGATTCCACTCGGAACAGAGCTGGGCGAAGAGAATTCTGCGGGTCTCCTGGCAAGCGGAGTACATGTCATAAATAGCTTAACCTATGAAGCGTGAGCAATTCACTTATCTCGCGAGAGCTCCTTCTTCCAAGTACCCTCTGGCGTACCCCAGCACTACTAATGCGATGTTCCCACCAGGCCTGACCAATGCTTTGGAGACAATGATGGTCAAACATTCACAAACTCTGTATGTCCTCTGAGCCCAGAGGTCACATCACTGACCCCTAAAGCAGTATGGATCGCACAGCCGCAGTGCAAACTTTGCCCTTGACAGACATACTGGCTTCACATCGACGTCATCGGTGTCCTGGCTCTCCCGGTTCGAGAAGTAATCTCAAGGTAAAGGTATTGTTCATGCATCCTCAGCCAGGGCAAAGACCAGGTTCATTATGCCGAACTTATCTCTTTCGATAACCGATCAATCTACGCAAAATAATGCCAGACAGCACCTCAGATGTGGCGAATACCAGGCTGACGTCACGATGGTTTTCACATGACGTTCTTGCGCCGGTTTTGAAAACAGATGACGGTCGAGGAGCTCCATTCGACTGGTGTTCCAGGTCTTCTGCAGTATGTTTGTCAGACTGTTCACCAGGACCTCGCCACCTTCTTTGAAGAGCTCGGGGTGCAGGCCATCCGGGCCAGGTGCCTTGTCGCGTTTCAGGATTGATACCTCATGCTGGATTTTTGTTGCTGATGGCGGGTTGGTGTCACTGTTCCATTCGGGCCCGCTTGTTTCTTCCAGCGGCTGTGTTGAACGAGACCAGCCGAACCGTTTTCTGAAGTGCTCAGTCCGTCGCTGAAGACTGAGGAAGCAAATTGCCGTTCTATCTTTTACACATATTGTTTCGCTGACACCTGCCTTCTTGTTAATCGAATCAGTTGGAGCAGAGTGCGGCTGTTGCCTGCAACAAAAACCTCCATCTCCTGGACCTTCGAAATTCACCAGGGTTCTCTGTCATTCTCCAAGCCCCTGATTACCCGGTGTCTGACGGATTTGCATGCGTCATCATAGTCGCTAGTTGATGGTATGGCCTTTTTGCTGATCTCGGCGATATCAAGCGTTCATTTAGTCGAGTCAGATGGGCTGGACAAACACTTCTGAAAGCTGAGAGCGTTGCTTCTTTAACTCGCCTCCATTCAACCTCCAAGCACTCTTCGTCATCCACATGACTTTGTGTTTCCAGTAGCTTTCTGGCCGGATCAGCTCGATGCTCTTCAGCGACTGAAACTTGTCGAAGTTGATGAACGGAGCTGCTTTTCTTTGTCGCACATAGTGCTGGCGAAGCGCTTAGCGGGCCCGCACGATGGCGTGATCAGAGGGGAGCAGGGTGTATGAGGGCTGGGATACTGTCAGGTTGCCCAAGCCTAGACAGGAGAAGTCGAGAGGCAGAGGTCGGGTTCGAACCACGGACCTTCCGGTCAGTAGATTCGTGCCCCAACCCCTGAGCCATCCCGCCCCGCGTGATCAGAGTCAAGTTGCGTATCTCAGAAGGAACGACATTCCTTAACTGAGGCTCTCGGTCGGTAACTGATAGCCACATGGTCCAATGGAGTCCGTGACTGTCTTGTGGTAGGTGGCCTCCTAGTAACTCGGTATGGGCGTCTGTGTGGAAAGTTCGTACTGGTTAAAGACAAACGATGATCTGCACACAGCTGGAGAAACAACCCCCAATTATCCTACGCTCAGCATCGACCCCAAACCTGCCGCCTAACTGTAATTCTTCCGGGCTTATCCAACTTTGGCATTCATATCCCCCGCCAGGATTACTGTATCCGTCCATCTTGCTGACCGAACAGGTCGCGACAAACCTCGATAAAACCCATCCTTCTCAGTCTCAGAACTGCAGTTCTTCGGGGCGTATGCTGACACGACAAATAATACTGTTTACCAGTCGCGACAAACCTCGATAAAACCCATCCTTCTCAGTCTCAGAACTGCAGTCCTTCGGGGCGTATGCTGATACGACAAATAAATACTGTTTGCCACATTGATCTGCATTAACCTTGATTAAGCCAGACAAACGCACAGCGCAAAGACAACTGTTTACTGAAATCCAGTCCGGTGAAGCACTTTTAGCCTTGGAATCTCGTGCAACTCCCACATCCTAGCTGCCACGAGCCGTTGCGTTAGGATTATCAGATACCCGCAGAGTGACATATGGAACATTTGAGCTCGCTCTGAAAGGCTTGGGGTGCACGACCGTGGTAGCGTCTTGTATATGAGTTTCGGAGACACAGCATACTTCGGCAGAGAGGTAAAGCAAGGCTCTGCCTCTCAACTTTCCCAGTCTAGGCTTGGGCAACCCTGCGGTATCCCGGCCCTCGTGCTTCCTTCGGGTAGCATAGCCGCTAGGCACCGAAAGGGTGACAGCTGAACAATTTATCTTCTATCGAAGGAAGGTTTCAGCAAGAGATTCCTGTTTGCCATAGTACGGTAGTTGAAGGCTGGAACGTAGACCAGACCTTTTAGGGTTAGTAATTGATTACTGTGGTTTATTGTTCTGTAGGATAGTTTAGACACGGACTGACTGATGGCTTGATCGCACTGTCTCATTCGATGGGTGGGGAAGGGTATGAAGGGGGCATGAGAGCGGACAGCTGCAATGGCGTTTGATACCTCCCGGTTGCCAAAGAGGAAGAAGAGGATTTGTTTGAGGTACCCCACTTTGAGCCTTAGGCTCAAAAGCCTAATCCACAAGGCAGTGGAATGATGTAGGGTTTTGTTCGGGGAAACCTCGTTTAAACTCCGACTGAGAGTCTGAACCGTGGAGCAGTGGTTATCAGGGCTTTCTTGGGGGACCATGCTCAGAGCCAACGACTCAATAATCTGACCTAATTGGCTTCAGCGGGTCGGCCTGGCCCGGGGACGCTGGGAGTAGGACATTGCTATCTGATTCCTAATGTATTGTCTTTTGAGAAACACGAAACTCTGGTTTTAAAAGTAATACGTCCGAGATGGAGGATTTCGCTGAAGGCGACAGCCCTATTTCAGCTGATTCGATCAGACAGCCAAAAGGAGTCAAGTACCAGCGAAACAACATGCGAAAGAGAGGTAACCAATTCAATCACAAAATATTCTTGAGCGATTGGCTGAGCACTTCAACCCGACGTAAAGCTGTCACCTTGAAGTGGTCGGACTTGAGTGCTGCAATGATCTAGTGGGCTACACTGGCTGGAAGTTCGTTTCACAAGTTGCAGCTATGTCAGGAAGGCCAAGAGGGAGCAGTCAGACCAAGAGCAGGGGGATACCGTAGTACGAGTAATCATGGTGCGAAGCGATTTGGAAGTAAAGTCGTACTGTCCTCTATGACAGGAATGTGAAGGCAGTAAGGTGTTTCCCTCAGGTGGCCAGTATGCCCATAATTATGGAAGCAACAATACTGACTTCCCCCGAGGAAGGACGGGTTGGAAAAAGTCAGTCCTAAAAACCGCACACTTCGGTCGCCTAACGGTTGACCATGATCGCGGGCGCATTATTCAATACGGTCGAAGTACTTGTAAAATAAAAAAAGTTCGGTGCTGCTTAAAAAGCATCTGCTATATGCAGCCCCACCAGGAATGAAACAGTAATGGTCTATTCCCTGCGCGGTTAGGCGAACCTCCTGCAGCCCAACAGGTCAGAATATTGAGTCATCGGCTCCGGGCAGGGTCCCAAAGGAAAACATTACTGTCCGCTGCCTCACGGGTCAGATTTTTGGGTCAGAGGCTAGAGGCAATGTCCCCGAACGAAAGCCCACATCCTCCCAGTATCTTGTGAATCAGATTTTTGATTCAAAGGTTCAAGGTGGGTTACCTTAACTATACCGTTTAACTCGGTCTGGGCAACCGAGAGATATCATTTGCCCGCGCAGTTCAGCGTCCACCGATGTGCCTCCCCCAACCCCTTCCCACAGCACAGACAAACGCCGCTGAGTCTTTTGACCGTCAGTTAACTGACCAATGGGCCTTATGCCCCTCGCTGCCTATTTACAAGAAAAAGGAACACCCAAATCCACGAAATCCTTTCTATATAGGAACTTTTGATGACCGTACTCTACGTCAAATTGGTAGGCAGGCAATGCTAGTTGCCGTTGCTCTCTTCAGCCAAGTGAAATAGACGAAAACGAGCTCCTTCTGACTTAAAGGAATGTGTTCAACATTTCGGCCCGGTTCAGCTAAATAGCGATACAACATGAACCAAGGGTACACTGAATCCAACGGGAATCAGTCACCGGAAAGTGAAGGAGCGTGAGGGATACAGCCAAGCATTATAGGCGATGAAATGTGATGTTGGGTTGGGAACCGAGTAGCAAGGCATTCATGTGCAAGCTTTACTGATTGCGCCTTGTGTGAAGTGTGCGAAGTGTAGACCATGCACGCCAGGTTCCCTGCCTCGTTGGGATAATGATACCTCACGTTCGACTTATATCATTGACTGGGAAATGGTTTCAACATTCCATTCTGTCACAAAGAAAAAAACCGCAGTCCAGTTCAGTCTGTTTCTCCCCACAAGTTAGCCTCCTCAGCAAAAAAACAAACAAGGGTACGCAATGTATTGAACGCCAAAAACGAGGCCAGTGACTAATTTACAGTTGTTCGTACTCAAAGTTTATGAAGCGAAAATTCCTGAAAATTTGCACGCGTGCAGACAACACTGGCCGTCAGCTATCAGGAAAAACTGAACCATGATTGGCTTTCACGGATTCACGGATTGATACACAGGATCGAGGCTTTTGCCCAAGTTTCCCGGGTCGGTTTTGTTCTTGTCGGTCAGTGGCTGTCGTTCACCTGAAAGGCACAAGTGAAAAAAGGGTGTAGCACTGCTCTTTATGTTCTCAGCGCGGGGCAGTATGCTCGCCAGCGCGAGGACTCGCATAAATAACTGTCTAAGTCCACCCACGTTCCCGACCATTCAGAAATCACCTTTACGGGTTCACGGGTTGGTACATAGGATCGAAGCTTTCGCCCAAGTTTCTCAGGTCGGTTTTTTCGTCGTTCAGCGGCTGCCGTTCACCTGAAAGGCACAAGCGAAAAAGGTGTAGCACTGATATTCAAGTTCCCACCGTGTGGCAGTAAGTTTGCCAGTGCGAGGTCTTGCATAGAAATGTATAAGCATGATTTGAAGTGGGATCCAAAAGGATCGTGAGCAACAGTCGGAAGAAGGTTAATCCACGCGGCAGCTACCCTAAGAGAGGAAAAGTCTGCCTATCAAAAGCGTGCGCTCACAGCTTGAAAATCTTACCATGTCTTCGCCATGTGGCGTTTTGTACCTTTATACCTGGGTCAACGACGAACTACTTTAAAGAGGACAATTGTTAGTGAGTCTGTTCCACCTGACCTCTATTTTGTATACCAAACCTAGCGCAATTATTTTTATTTCTTTGTCACACACTTCTGGTAAACTAACTTATCGGGTAGCCAGACCACTACAATTTTGGTGAGCCCGAGTATTTCTAGATATTTTTTGAAAGCTTTTCCTTGGAAGTCGTCGTAATTTTGTTCCTTTTACCCGCTAATTATGGAGGCACACTTTGATTCAGCGGATTTAGTCGAGAATGCGATTAGAATACGTTTACCAGACTACAATCCACGCAACCCCAGGGTATGGTTTCACCAGGTGGAGGCTGTTTTTACCGACTGACGCATCACTTCCCTAGCCACGCGATTTTCCTATGTTGTCCAGCATCTTCCTTGTGATGTAGCAACAGAAGTGGATGATCTATTAGAAGATATTCCAAAGGAACCCGTATGACGCCCTTTGAGCGGCCGTCATAAGTAGGACAGGAAAATCAGAAAACAAAATGCTACGGGCTCTATTCACCACTGTCGAACTTGGGGACAGATCGCCATCACGACTGCTTCGCCACATGCGCAGTCTCCTCTGCGGCCGTAAGCTAGCGGTGGAAATCATGGCCCAACTATGGCTCGACAAACTTCCACCCTCGATGCCCCACGTCATTAGCGCTTTTGTTGATGACCACAGCTTGGAGCAGCTAGCCCAAACTGCGGATAACATACATGAAACATGCCCCAGTAACCCCGTAAACTCCGTCTCCCGCCCTGCGCCCACTACAGATTCCGGCCCGCTTCTTGCTTTTATATCGCACCTACAAGCCAAGTTTGATGCTTTGACCGATCGCCTACAACGGTTAGAGATCAACCGGCATCGACCACGTTCACGATCCAGATCGTTACCTCGTGCCCGTCCCTCTTGGTGCTGGTATCACCAATCTTATGGCCCAAAGGCACGCAAATGTCAACCACCTTGTTCCTTCAAGCCGCGTTCCAACACCCCTTTAAACGCCCCGGCCAGTCAGTAACGGCGACGACTGTCTGTGGCCCTCCTCGCACTAGTCGCCTGTTCCACATCACCGATCGTTCAAGTGGTCAATGCTTCCTCGTAGATGCGGGAGCCGAAGTTAGTGTGCTACCACATAAGAATCCACTTCCCGATTCTCCTTCTTTCTCCTTACAAGTCGCTAACGGTACCCGCATCGCTACATAAGGCGAACGTTCCCTCACCCTTGACCTCGGATTGCGACGTGCGATCAAGTGGATCTTC